AAAATGAAATCTGTACATCCACTGCCTCTTTCTGTTAAGAGATGCATTCTAGTCATTTGGATGTTCGCTGCAGTCAGACGGGCAACTTGGGGAACCCTCTTGTACTTGTTTGAGGGAACAATTTGATTTTGATCTTTTCAACAGGATAGATTTTGTGCTACATGGGATCACACAATTTTGTTTATATTTAAATAATCTCTGCTCTACCTGCCTCTTCAACATGATTTCCGCAAGCCATTTCATAAATCTATCTTTTGAACTATTAATGATATGAAAACCGTAGACTTTTTTTTTTTTTAATGTGGGATGGAGAAAACTTTTAAGAAAGAACAAAGAGTCGCAGGTGAGAAGATGGCCCAGGAAATAAGATGCTTGCTCAGCAAACAGGAGAGCTAAACTGAGTACAGATCCATGCACAAGCCGGATGTGGCAGTGAGACATGTAACCACAGCACAGGGGAGGGGAGGGGACAGAAGCCATCAGAGGGTCAGACACGGCAGGATCCCCAGGGCTCACTAGCAAGCTAGTGTCTGAGTTCAGAGACCCTGACTAAAAACAATTAAGGTGGAGAACAACTGAGGGAAACACTCCACACCGATCTCTGGTCTCCACGCAACATGGGTACACATGTGAACACGTACATACATAATAATATAAGCACAGATCCTCCATGCTTCATAGGGATGACTATATTGAAAACATTCACATAATCCCTTAGTGCCCATTCCGCTTGCTTCTAGGTACAGCAGAAAAACATGCTTATTCCTATCCCTGTGTGTATCTTTGTCTACACGACAGGGACATCTGGATGTATGCTCATACTGTCAAATCTAGCTAAGGCATCCACCATTTAATGACAGAAACAAGACATTGCTGACATTGAGGGAAACAGCAACAATAAAACAAAACCTGAAGGAACAGCTTGCCAAGAAAGCAGGTCCTCACACCCTAGGGTCACAGTATAGATGCATGCCACCCTTTGCAGAGAAGCTACAGATACATGAGAGAACAGCTTCTGGGGCCTTGGGGCTACCAACTGCCTCATCTTGTCTTAATTTTTGACTCAATATTACTTTTTGGCCTTATATTAACTCAAAGATAGACCCTCGGTTTTTCTGCCATCCCGAAACCCAATCATAAAAACAAGTACAGCACATGCCTTCCAGAGAACTCTGTAAGTCACTCAGGATTTCGCCTATTAAGCAAAACTTAGCAAGGTGGGTAGCAGAGCTGGAAATATTGCTCATCAGTTAAAAGCATTTGCTGCACCTACAGAGGAACTGGTCCAGGTCCCAGCACCCATATGGATGACCTCACAATCATCTTTAATTCCAGCTCCTTACAACCTCTTCTGGCTCCTTGTGTACACGGCATGCACATGGTACATACACACACATTTAGGTAAAACACGCACACACATAGGAGGAGAGAGGAGGAGGGAGGAGGAGGTGCTTCTTGGGACTGGAGAGATGGCTCAGTGGTTAAGAGCATTTGCTGTTCTTGCAAAGGACCAGCGTTCAGTTTGAATCATGTCAGGAACTCCACAACTGCCCATAACTCTAGCTGCAGTACCCTCTTCTGGCTTCCATGGGCAACACTAGTCACATGCACATAGTCACAGACACACATGGACACCTAAATAAAAATAAAATAAATTACCTTTAAAAGGAGGATAGCTTCTTTCTATAAGCCCTTTTCTATTCCCACCAGGATAACCCCTTTGCATTTAAAAGTTTCCCTACTAGTAACTGTCAAATATGTATATTCTTTTGGTCTGGTTATATATGTGATATATATATATATATATATACATACATATACCCTTCATGTTTTTAAATGATGTCTATGATAGGCCACTGATCAAGGGTCAAATAAGTGTTCTCCAAAAGATGAAATGTTTCGGGAGTCGAGTACAGCATAATCTTAAATGATTTCAGGGTGGTGAGTGAAGATGGAGAGTCAACTAAAATAAAAAGGTCGGACTCAACTGTCTTACACTATGGCCGGCACTTATTTGGAACATCCTAGAGTCCTGCTTCATCCTTCAAAGCCCCCGCTCCTGAGGGCTGAGTGGTGACGTCTGGCTGTATTCAAGCCCAGCCTGGTCTCTGGTGCTGGGATGAATAGCATCCACACTAAGGGCAGGGAGGATCTTCTCGAGCAGCCAGCACCTCTGAAATCTTACTCCATCTGTTGCTGGTCATCACGGCAACCCCCCATCCCTGCCCCATCCTCCTGTGCAGGAGGCTAGGTTGAAAGAGGTAAAGATGAAGGAATGTATCTTAAAGCTCTCCCTGAGGGGATGGTAAGTGTGGGCTGCACCATAGATGCTAAAAGATCTGAAGAAATAAAGGTTTCCCTCTAAGTGTTCCAAGCAGAGAACAGAGGGAAAGGCCTGTTTCTGCATGCATATCCCACAACCTCCCATCGGCCAGTGGGTTTTTTTTATTACTTCCAGACGCAGAAAGTGCAAGCATTCATGATTCCTGAGGAAGCAACCACTGAAGGAGTCAACAACCCAAGAAAACAGGTCCTTAGGGTCCTCAGCAGAAGCTAGGAGTTCACTCACACATAAGTACATCACTTCACGGCAGTGTGGAGAACGCAAAGCCCCCAAAGGGGAGTGTCTCTACTTGAAACTCAAGCGAGTAACTTACAGCACTATGCTCAGGTGGGAGGCTGACTCACTGGAACTTCAAACGGCCACGTTGTAAATTTAACCTCAGAATCCAAAAGACAGCCTTTTAAGAATTTAGTAGAAGTATTTTTAGGTCGCCAGACAGAACTCACAAGATGTGGGTCGGGGCAGCAGACAGAAGAGAATGGGTGACTTCAGGCACCATGGGTGCTGGGCACTCTGCTCCAGAATAACCAGCTGTTTCAGTCCTTTGACGAAAACGTTCATTCAAGACAGCTATTTGACTAACATACCAAGGGGCCACCGAAATGTTTGCTCATGAATCAGAGCAGCCACGGAGTTCACAGTGGCCCCGGCTCACCCCAGGCGGCTAGACGCCTAGAGTAAGCTCAGCCCATCCTCAAGGCCCGTCTTCAACACCCGGAGTGTTTTCTTTGACAGAAGTGTCCCCATGAAAACCAAGCTTGTCCTGGCAGCTATAGCCGCGTACGTAAGCAAGGGCCAGCCAGTCTTCCCCTCAGCACGGAGGCCTGTTTTCTCTCCTCAGCCCATTTCTTGATATTCAGGCTGCTAGGAAAAAGTTGGTCATCGCTGAACTGGCAGTTACAGAGGAAAACCCAAACATTGTTGTGTGATAAAAATAATTTAAATAGCAAAAGAAACAGTCAATCTAAAATCAGTTCCAGTGTTTTTGCCAAACTCTTCCTGGAGCGCAGGTCAGCTGGCCTGGCACCTGTAGAAGCAAACAGGAAGAAACTGTTGCGGTACCATGTAGGGACCGACACCTAAGGGTGTCCTCTGACTGACACACCAATGACATGGCACATGCATGCTGATACACACATACACACACACACACACACTTGTGCTAAAGGTGTGGCTCAGCAATTAAGAGCACTTGGTGCTTTTGCAGAGGACCTGAGTTTGGCTCTCAGAACCCACAGGGCAGCTCACAACCATCTTCAACTCTTCTGGCTTCTGCAGATCTTGCATACATGTCAACACACCTCTAGATACGGAGGAGGACGGTTTTCAGGTCAGAAAGGCCTGAGTTCACCCTGGCCTCTCACTCGGCTGATCTTAAAGCACACGCAGAGGGAAGAAAGGCTGACTTTCATAGCAAAACCCGCCTGCCGGGACAGCCACAGACCTCACCGCATCGGGCCAGAAGCCCCACTCATTCAGTGCGTTTCAGAAACTCTGGCCATCAGAGGCTGACCCCTTGAACTAAGCGAGCAGAAACTTCAGGGGGCACATGCGGCACTTTAGATACAATCAGAGTCATCGCTGGACAACAGCATTGCCGTGGCCAAAAGCAGTAGATAGAGTAAGATGTTCTGGAAGCTCAGCAGAATCCATGATAAACAGATCCATAGCCATACACACCAGGTCAAAGTTGAATGGCAAACGCAAAGACAGAATACGGAAAACATCTAAAGGATAGGGACACGGTGCATAGAGACCCAAAGCTGCCTTCTCAGCAGAAACTGGAGATCAAGGCCAAGGAAAGGTGTGGGGCTCTTCCCTTCTGTGCTGCTCGGTAGGGAGGTCCCGGAGGTACCCCAAACTGCACAGGCCACAGGCCCAATGCTCTTGGTTGTCCACCAGAACTGGATGAGAAGATCCTATTTCTGAAGAGACTGTCATTTGGGTTGCAGGACACCGAGAAGTCAAGTTGTAACTGGGTCGATGCTTCCTCCCTGCTGGCTAGGTTTCGAGTGTTGGAAGGCGCTAGGCAGGATGCTGGGGAGAAGAACAATTAATGATCTACCCAGTTGTGGAACCTACAAGTTACACCACCAGCCTGCCAGGCAAGCTAACCACTAGCATTAAAGGGTGACGGTTACGGAGATAACCGTCTACTGGTTGGATTGAAGCCCACTCTACAGACTGATACTGTAAACCTGACCCAAAGACCATGGCTGGGAGATTTGCTTGCTAAAGTATCTGAAGCTGGACTCCACAACCCTGCACTTTCTGGATGTCCAGGAAACCTTCTCAGCCATCACACACCCAGCAAGCAGTCTCACTATGTCTCGGCTTCCTTTTGCTTTGCAGCATCTTGCACACGGGGTTGACTGGGCTTCTAGGGGCAATGGGGAACTGGGCGCGTTCAGGTCAGGCGTTCCTGTGGTGGGCATCTTCCTGGTATGTCCAGCAGCTGGACATCTGGAGATGCCGAGTGGAGAAACGGGCAGAGCCTTCTTGGTGAGGGGCACGCAGGCCAGGTTTTCAGATCTCCTTGGCCCTATGGCTAGAAGTTGCCTCGAACAGTGAGAAATGAACTAATGTGTCCCATGAGGATTGGCAGCTGATTCTAGATCTCTTCCCATTAGACCCAACCAATTTGTTCCTCTCGCAGGCAACCGAAGCCTTCAGTCTTGGACATGCAAGGAGGAAACAGTCGTGCTTTTCTTGCCTGGAATATGAGTGATTATGAAGATTCCCAACAGAGAGACTCCCAAAGGGCTCTTCTCGTTAAACAGAGTAAATCGCCAGGGCCTTCCCTGCCCTCCAGGCTGCCAAGAAAGGAAGAGAAGGTAAGCTGCCATTTTTCTGATCCATCCTAGAAAAGTCACACTGTGGACTCGAGAGCCATTTGATTCTAATAGTTTCATAGTTCCCCTTCACTTATAAAACCAGATTGTAGTCTAGACTTCCTCTCTAAGTGTCCCGATGTGGAGAGCTGGGCATGAGTCTCACCGTGTAAGAAAACAGGAGGGTGTGTGGTCCCATTCCTAGCAATGTTTATCCACCACATGGCTTGACCTGGAGAGGATGGTCAGGCCCCTAATTCCCACAAGCTGAGAAAACAGCCTGTAGGATGGAGGCAGACCCGTACCTCCCCCGAAAACCCTGCACATGCTCAGAACGTTTAGAACCAGCTCACGCTCCTGGCTTTCCCCTTAGGATCTGCAGCATCTTAGCAAGTTGAGTAATTTCCTTACATGCTTTTAAGAATAAATAAGATGGGGACAGCAGGTAACTTTCCTGGGAAATCTGGAGTGTGAACAATGAGGAGCAAGGATGTGTAATCATCCATCCCACCATCGTTTTCAGAGGGCAGTCTCCTGCCTTGGCCTCCTGGACCATCCCACAGCACGGTGCATTTGTCATTGCTCAATGTTTAAGACGAGGTTTGACAAAGTTTCTATGATAGAAAGGAAAATAGAACAGCTCACACCCATTCAGACGCCTGTTTTGTACACGGGGTGCCGTCTTGCTTCCTTGAAGAGTCCTTGGAAGGTTCTAGCACAGAACTTACCCTGTGCCCAGAGAGCCCGCTCATCAGCCATCACCCTTTGAAGCTTTCTGCCAGGGAGCTGGACGCATCCTCTGGGAAGGTCCTGGCCCAGGGACACTGTGTGAAAAATGGGAGTTCAAGGGCTACCGTCCCAGGTGGGCTGACTTGTGGGCAGGCAGTGACTGAGGCAGTGATTGACACCTATGTAATGGTGAGTTGGACCAGCTAGATTATCAAACATTAGTTCCAAATGCCCTCTATCACCACTAAATCTAAACAGATTTTACATTTTGCATTAAAATTTTTTGCTTAAAAGATTTTTTTTACTTTCAAATGGTTTAAAATTTAGAGAAAATTTTGCAAGAACAGCAGACAGCCCTTCTTTTATACTCTTCAGATCCATCAATTAATTTTAATTGCTTTGATGTATTTTATCCCTCACTATGAATTTAAGTATATGTGTATAGACCCCGCCCCATGTATTATTTGAAAGCAATTGCAGGCCCAATGTCATTTTATTTCTAGACACTCCAGGGCGTATTTCCTAATAACAAAAATGTTCTATCGTATCACCATGGTTACTGTTTTAAGATTTAAGTCTACAATTCACAATCAAATCTCACTGAGCCAAGACAGCATGCTGGGGTCACATATCACAATTAGTTACGTGCTAAGTTTCTCTCCATTTGCGTCTTCGTCTTCATCTTTCGCGGCACCCGTATCTTCCAAGGCTGTGGGCAACTCAGGCTGCTTTCTCCAGGTGGGTTTGTCTGCTGTCTCTATGTAGGCTGACTCAGGCTGTGTGGCATGCGTAGGGAACCCTGACAAACTGCCTGCCAGCAGATGTGGGCTGAACTCATCCCCGCTGAACACAAGCACATCCCTTCTTTAAAAGAAAATAAATACTGTATCGTTCAAAATAAGCTTCTCATCAGGCAGGCTTACGCTTTAAAATTTCAGGGTACATTAGAAACTCGTTATCCTTGTCTGTGTTTTTTAGAGGATTTCAGAGTTGTGGACATTTGAGAAAACTCCCACCTTCTTCATGGTAACCCCTCTTCATGGACTTAACTCCAAGCAATCGTTCTTACATATTCAAAAGCCAATAATGAATACAACATGGGAAAAGCACCCACAGGGCACCACCCACTCGGGCAGTGCTGAAGGCTGGCAGTCATTACTGTTCTAGAGAGGTTGAGAGTGTGCCGAGTCTCCCATGCTGGCCTCAAACTCACTACATAGTTGAGGATGACCTTGAACTCCTGATCCCCATGCCTTCACCTCCAGAGTGATGGAATTACAGCTCGTGCATCCATGCCTTTCCCATTCTTACACGTAAGAATTATAATTGTACCCAGAGCCACTGAGAAGTGAAAACTGTCCTTGCGGCGGTATCCTATTTACCTTACCTGGAGGGAGGAGGAAATGGGATGTTTATTGGTGCTATAGGATGTATTTCTCTACTTATAAACTTGAGGGCTTAATGACATTATTCATAAAAAATACAATTTAGGGTTCTTAACAGTATGAAGTATTCTTGTACACATTTACATAGAATGCACTAGCAAATGTTTTTGGAATTCAATTGGGCAAATATGTTTCTCCAGTTAAATTCCTTTCTTTCCAAAAATTACAAACATCTCTCAAGTTCTCTCTTCTCTTCCATTTGTAATTCTTCCATCTTGATTTTTTTTCTTCTCAATAGTTAGTGACCTAAATGTTGGAAAATTTATGGGCACAGACCCCTTTGAACACCATTCATTTCTATTTCATTCTCAGCTTGCCAGTATTCTTGTGGTCTTCTAAATTCCAATGTACCGATGCCTAATGCATTCTTTTTAAAAAAAATTCTTTTACTTGATGCATTCTTTCTGTCACTCCCTCAATGCCTTTGAGCTCAAGATTAGATTCTCAAATGTTAATGTGCAACAAACCCCATGGAGAGCAAATTCAGATGCAGATTATGCATGGGTCAGCAGCAGGTCTGCAGTGGGTTGGCCGTTCTGCATTTCTGTCCAGTTCCCGGGCAACATGCGTTGTGGATGATCTGGGGACCTTGACTACTAGGGTGCCAGAGCATTTGACCATGAATTTAATTTGGAGATAGAACAGAGGGAAGTGGTCGGACAAGGGGAGGGAGACCAGGAAGGCAAAGCCAACAGCACTGGACTGTCTTCAGGAGGATGTAAGTGCTTCAATATGGCTGTATATTGGAGTGAAATGAAGCTGGGCTCTGTGGAGTGTGCTGTGTGGTCTCACCTACTCAGGAGGCTGACTAGGGAGAATCATTGAGTCCGAGAAACTGGGCTCAGGTTTGGTGACACAGTGAGATCCTGTTCCTTAAAAGAAAGTGAGCCAGTGGAGGAGGCTTGGTAAGCTGTTACGTAAAGGAGGAGTCTGAGGCAGGAACCTGCTTGGTTTATACTGAGTTCAGGGCCAGCTTGAGAAACTTGGTAAAACCCTGTTTCAAAACTAAAAACAAACAAACGAGGCTGGGGATTTAGGTTAGCAGTGCCTAGCATGCCTGATGCCCTAGGTTCAATCCCCAGTACCAGAGTGTGTGCACCTGTACAAAGAGTACCTGCTGATGAGGCTGGGGAGGAAGTGGCCAACTCATGTGAGTCCCATAATGCTAAAGCCCTTGGGGTTTACTGGGCTGCTGCTGTTTTAAAAAGAGAGGGGCGGGATTAGCACTGTAGAAAGGTTTGGAAGTCAGCACCGATGAGAACGGATGAGAACTCTTTGCCATGAAATGGAGAGTCCGGAGAGCATGACACCACCCAACTGAAAATAGGGAAGGACCGGAACAACGAGGGGGAGAAGTGATGGTTTGAGATGGAGTCAGACCAGCACACTCCAGGGACAGGAAACAGGCTGTTAGCGGAATGAGGGGGGTATAGGTTGCACCCTCAGAGCTCAGTGTGAGAGGACTGGAGGAGCCGGGTAGCAGAATGGAGTAGAATTTCACAGTATGGAGTTAATTGTGCTTTTTGTGTTAAAGATATTCAAAAGTCTAATCTAAGCCAGGCCTGGTGATTCATGCTTGTAATCCAAGCACTTGGGAGGTCAGAGATAGGAGAGTAGTCACAAGTTCAATGCTAGCCTGGTCTACATAGCTAATTCTAGGCCAGTAAGGGACCACACAGTGAGGTCATCAGGAAGTGGGGAAAGAAAAGAGGCTACTTCCTATCAATCTCAGCTCTATCTGGCTCCCTCCCAAGACCATTTGAATGGTAAGTACCACTGGGTTGAACTCTTCAGTACCTGGATCAGTCATGGACCTATGTGCACACTTGGAGAGAAAGAGACAGTATAGTGTTCATCATGAGGAACTGGTTTGTGTCATGGTAGGGCCTAGAAAATCCATAGTTTATACGGTTGGCTCTAGGGCTGGCTGGCAGGCTGGGGCCAGCAAAGACCAATGTGCAGTTGGATCTGGAGGTGATCTGGATGTTGACTCCTCTTCCCAGAGGTTGGAGAGAAGGTCTGCTCTTTCCAAGTCTAAGTCCTTCTATCTTCTGATTGAAATATGAATCTCATCTAAAAAAAAAAATACTCTTACAGCATGCCCTACACTGGTGTTTGACCAAGAGTCTGAGAGGAATGGCCTTGCTAACTTGACACGTGAACCTCACCATGATGGCACCCATCCCACATCAATCATCCAACAGAAGGGTCTAGGCAGGAGGCGACCACGGAATACAGACTGTGCTGTGTGTGAACAGCCTTTGTAGAGGGCTCATAAACAGAAGCTGGGACCTTCCTTCTTTATCCCAGCGTCAGAGGTCCACTGAGAGAGAGCTGAGCAGGGACACTAAGAAGATACTGCAGGCCAGAGGGCTGGGGCTCCATGCATGGCTACAAGGGGGAACCCCAAAGTTACAAAATGCGAGAAGGGGAAGCCATGTAGTCCATGCCTGTCCTGTAGAAAGGACCCAGCGGATGCTTCTCATCTGCCCTGTGTGCAAGGTGGGGTTCAGCTGCTGAAGACTAAAACCAGCAGGCGACAAGCACGCTGCTGCTCGTGTGGGTAAGCTTCACACAGTTGCCAGGTCTTGTCCTACTGAAGATATGCTATGGGGCTCTCAAGCTGTGGCAACATGCCCTCCCACTCCCCCCGCCCCAGAGTGTGAGAAAGTTGCTTGCTGGTCGTGTGAGAGTCATTCACCACCATTTGGGTTCTGGGGCTCTAACACTGTAAAGCTTAGCAGCAAGCACCCTTACCTGCTGAGCTAGCCTCTAGCCCCTGGACACACTATTTAAACACGCAGGGTTTGGAGTAGAGGCTTAGATGTAAAGAGATGCCTACGTGCAGCGCTCCGTGCAGGCAGCGGCTACAGCTGCCGACTGACAGGGAGGCACTGTATCCGCGTCCTGATCTATGAGAGACACAGCTGTTGATGGCAGAAGTTCCAACACACCATCAGTTCTGGGTGAAGACCAAGCGGACACTTGTGACAATCTTTACAGAGGAAATCTACAACCCCAGGATAGACAACCGTTACATTCCTGGAAAATTCACCACAAGCCAATGTCAGGTGAAAAACCACAAATTCTCAGCTTAGACCATTAAAAACAGGTTTATCACTCCAATGAATGTCAGGTAGGGCGATGAAAGGTCACACAGACTGGCCCCGGGGCATTCCCACAGGCTCCAGGATGCTGCTGCTGCTGCATGCTGAGCCAGTGTGCTCACCTACCAGGGTGCTAACCAAGTCTCCGCTCACCAGAAGTCATTTCAAGGCTGGAGTTGATTAAATGCAACAAACCAATCACGCAGTGCCAGGAAAATTTGCAAGATAATTTCAAAAAGTTTATTGCACCAAATGTCACAGAAAAAAAATGGATTAAAAATAATACATGAATGTTGCTTTAAGGAAAAAAATTCCACACTGACATGGGTATCCATTCAACTGATTTAAAAAACAGTCCTATAAATTTCTCTTAATGAAAGTTCAATAATAATTTATCCCAGAATTTTTCCTTTTTAAAACACTGAAATTTAAACATAATGCAAACACACGTTCCAGATGTTCAACAAATTTTAACATTTTAAAAATTAACTTTCAGAGGGGCTGCTTTAAGTAAAAGTTGTACTAAAATGTCCTTCCCGCCAAGTACAAAAAAAAAAAAATCAAACAAACCATTTCACATTGACTAAGAGACGCTGTGGACCTTTTTGATTTCACGATGAAGTCCATGTGAACACAATCCCGAGTGTGCACTGATGGAGAAAAACCCCAGACATCTGAAAGAATTTGAGGGTCATTTTATATTCCTTATGTACATCCAACTAACCAAGAACCTAGAAAGCTACAGACTAGTTTATAAAATCCGAAGACCTGATTTTTAAGAGCCCAGACAACAATTTAGGATCATTTAGCAAGTGGGGAATTTCCTCCCTCCAAAAAAGCGAATTCTGAGAAACACGGTTAAGTTAAAAAGTTGTGATGTGTAAACAGCAACTCCGCGAGACGTGAGAAGATGAGATCCTGTCCGTCAAAAACAGCACACTTCTGAAACATGGGCTGAAGCTGTACAAACACCACGTAACATTGACGAGACAAGATGCTTCGCAATTATGAACGAGTTTGGAAGCTACATTTTCAATTTTCATTGTCGTCTTTTCAAACATATACAACTGCCTATACATTCATATCACTTATCGACATATCGCATATAAACCGCAACATGCTAGAAAGAGGTCATCACAGGAACACTGACACACTTCCGCCCCGATAGTCCTGCCTCACTTGCTGCTCAGTCCCACAAGCAGTGACACAGCAGGTAAGACTTCCGAGCCGAAGAGACCCGAAGGGCAGGTGGAATCCTGTCAACTGAGGTAGATTTATTTCAATGTTTTTTTTTTTTTTTTTTTTTAAAAAAAAGGTTTTTTATTTTTATTTTTTCCCTTGAGTTGGGTCTAGGAGAAGGTGGGGTCCCTTTTGGACTCTCCAGCTATGATGAAACAAAGCCATCCGTGATGCAGGGTGTGGGCGTGTCTCAACAGAAGTCCATGAGATACTCCGTTGCTGCTGCGCTTCTGAGAACAGGCTGACGGTTAAGACAAAATGTGGCCGCTCCACACCTTGGGAGCCAGGAGAGGAGCAGCATGTCCTTCTCTGCAGCAGCAAAAGAGGCCACGAAGGGCGCTGAGATAACCCCACGTGACCGCCCAGCTTTTCTGAAATTTGGAACGTTAGAGTAAGAGGCAGGTTGTTTTGTAGGATCTGAAGGCCCAGGCTAAATTTTTATGCATGAGGCTGAGAAGTAACTTGCCGACAGCGCAGCTCCTCGGGTCTGGCTGTCAACATGAGAACTGAGCAAACGTGTACTGAGTTCTTCTCTCCAGAACCTCAGAAGATGGTGGTGAGGCAGTATCCCCGTGTAAACGAGAGAGAAGCTGGGGAAAAAGGAGGGGAGCAGGGAGCACTGTGAGCTGGCGAGGGTGGAAGGCTGACCTCTGCTTTGACGGTTCCTCCACAGCGAGGAAAAACACGTGGAGAGCTGAGGCCAGGTGGGATTCCCAGCAAAGGATGACACCGTGGAGCCAGCAAATGGGAATCAGTAACTCAAATGCCAGCTCACAGAACATGGAAAGATTTCAAAGAATGAAACACAAAATATGCAAATTAAAGATCTTAAGTGCCTTGAGGCCCCTTTTGCAAATCACAAAAGGTAAACAGAGAGGGAGCCCAGGAAGGGAAGGGAGAGAGGGGGAGAGAGGAAGCGTCCATGCTCTGGCCTACAAAGAGATGATGTAGGCATTTGTCCACAGGAGCACACGCTCTCAATGAATAGACAAATGTCACATGGATCAGGATTTTATCAGATATAAACTAGGAAGTCGTCTGAGCCCTTGGACGCTATCCCACATTCTCAAGCACCAAAAGACAGGCCTAAGGACCTGACAGGGTTTGACTTGACCTGACTGGCTCCTGGCTTTTAAACATCAGATTTTGTTTTTAAAGTCCTGGACACAGACTGTTTTACGCTCAGTAGTCTAAGGTTCTTTGGGTTTTTACAGTTCACCATGGGCAAGGTTTATACATGGTCAGTTTCTGGAAAGATGTTTAAAAAAGTGCAGAGCCGATCATGTAAAAACAGATCGCGCATGGATCGCTTCTACATGTCCGAACTGCCTGCGCCCTTCCTCCGAGCCGCTGCAGGGCTCACTTCCCAGTGGGCTGATGCACTTTTCAGCGCAGGCAGGCATCTGCAAGGACTCGCAGGAGGAAAGAGGCTCAGGCTGGGAGGGCTCAGCCAGAGGAGCTCGCCTGAGCTCACGGGAGCAACTTTGGTAGAAGGTCTTTCTGGAGAAGGCTGTGGACGCTAAAGCTGAAGATGATTACCCAGTGTTAGACTGCACGGGCCGATGCGGGCCACTGCACCCGATACAAGCACCGGGTGCTACATGGAGTCATGCATGGGCTTTATTACACCAGCAGTCCCTCAGATCTGCGTGTGGCTGCACTGGGATCACAGCAAACTGAGTGGCAAAGCACTCTCCCCTTCCAAATCCTGCGTGACGCGGCACAGCGCAGACAGCGGCACAATGTGGCTTTCTTCGCGGCACCATCTGTAAAGAGAGCTCCGCCGACCTAAAATCCTGCTTGTTCTTAGAGTGATACTGCATGCTCTCTCATGCTTACACAGGAAACATTTTCCTGACAGAATGCTCTATTCGCTGGCTACCCCCACTCCAAAGTCAGACCTCAATATTCTGTCCAACAGCACCAGAGTCGTCTGCTAAGTCTGACTGTAGAGCTGACGTTTTCTCCCACCAGGAAGGTCACTTTCTCCCGATGAGAGAGCCATTCCGTCGCGGCTTCCGTGTCTGCTCCATGCTCCCACGCCTTTGCCGTCACCGAGAGCTCGCTCTTCTGACTCGGTTTCCAAGAACGGTCCCACGGTCGGCTATAAGAGGATCTGAGCCACGTAGGGAGAATGAGTACTGGCGATCGCGGTCAGCAGAGGCAGGTCGTTAGATTCAATCCTGGGTGGTGAAAAATTCAAGGACAGTATTATAAAACCGCATCATTTCATAGGAAAGAATCCCTTCTAGGCACCAGCCTAGAAGTCCAGGTCAGCTTTTAAAACTCACGAGAACATAAAACAGTCCAGCAACATGGCTTGGCTGGTAAAAGCACTAGCTTTCAAGGCTGGTGACCCAGGTGTCATACCTAGGACCTACGTGACGGAGGAGAGCACTGACTTCTGTAAGTTGTCCTGACCCCACCCCCAACACACACCCTGGTACATGCAAGCTCCTACACACATATGCCCATAGATTAAAACAATAAAAAATATGTAAGGGGAAAAGTGTGAGTAAAAGAGATGAGAGAATAAAAAGCCCTCCCAGGAGACACTGCTTCAATAGGAAATGGTGCTGGAGAAAGGGTAGAAGGCTGGTCTTCCCACGGCAGGGACATCCAGCCCTTATTCCTTGCATGGCCATGTCACGATGCAGGTTCCTGAGCATCCTTCCTCTTGAAGGCACACTGCTTTTGATTGAACCTATACTCAGATCAGTAGGGAAATGACAAGGCAGGTTCTTCACACAACGGTTCTGTGACTTACTGAGGAATGGAGCTCAGTGTTCTGTGAACAACGAAACTAGGAGAGGTGCCGTTGCTTCAGACGGACACGGGGTGGCTGCCTCTTAGAGCACAGGGCGCAATATGGTTTACGGCAAAGTGCTGTCATGTGGTGTGGGATGGAAGGACGGGAGACTTTCAGACTGTGGAATAGTTCTAATTGTTTCTTTCAAAATTAAAACTTTTTCTAAGACTATGAATGGCCCTTTGTCCCAGTCAGAGAGTAGGACAGAGTCCTGTAACCATAGGACCAGACCTAATGGGAAATCTGAGGCTGGGTAAGAAGGGAAAACAGTTGAAGTACCTTGCAAGGTAAGAGCAAAAGCTCAATCCCTCCAAATGGGAAAATATTTTTAAATAAATTACCAGAAACATAGGACAGGAGTGTGGTGGGAATAAGAACGGTCCCCACAGGCTCGTGTATTTGAAGCCTGTCACAAGAGAGTGGCACCCCTGGAAAGGATGGGAAGGACTAGGAGGAGCTGCCTTGAGAGCCCACGCCAGGCCCAGTCTCTCTGTCCATGGATCAGGATGTAGAACTGTCCGTTACTGCTCCACCGCCCTGTCTGCCTGTGTGCCCTGGGCTCCCTGCCATGGTAACAGACTAAACCTCTGGAACTGTGAGTGAGTCCTCTTAAGTGTTTCCTTCACAGGAGTCGCCTTGGTCGTGGTGTCCATTTACAGGGACAGCTTTTTCTACTGTCTTAGTCACTGATCTGTCACACTGACCTGTCAAAGACAGAAAATCTGACAAAGACTCAAGGCCTAACTCTAAACCAATGCCGTCAGAGCTGGAGACGGCTCAGCAGTGAGAATCCACGCTGCTGTTCCAGTGGCTGAGTTCAGTGCCAGCACCCACGTCAGGAGTCTCATGAGAGCCTGGAACTCCAGCTTCAGGGAACCGAGTATCCCTCTCTTCTAGCCTCCGAGTGCACCTGCATACATGTGGCGTGCAAGTGTACATGCAAATAAAATAAAAACATTTAATGATAACGATGATGATGATCATGATCATGATCATGATATATTACTTTGGGAGTCAGGCATGGTGGCACATGCTTGTAATCCTAGCAGTAAAGAGATTGAAGCCAGAGGATCCTGAATTTAAAGCCAGCAACCGTAAGACTACAAAATGATATCCCATCTTCAAAACAAACAAATCATCCAAAATGCAAAACTAAATAAATAAAACAAAACTTTACAAGGCCTAGTAGAAAATTAAGGGTGACATTATAGACACAGCATTTTCTTATGCCAAATTAGGGGAATCATCATCAAGTGATATGGTGGAAAAAATTCCTTATAGGTAGAGTCTTTTCTGTTACTTCTCTACCGGAAATGAAAATGAAGCAAGTCAGAATTTCTTGTAGGGACAGTGGGGCCAGTGCTCTCGGAAGATGGTGGACATCCTTAGCAAAGAGCAAGTCTAACCCTGGGTGCGGTGAACCCAGGAGGTACGCAGGAAGTGCCTGTCACCTCCTCCACAACGTGAGACAAGCTGCCGCTGACCCTGACAGCTTGTGATTTTTGCATCGCGACTGTGTCGCTAGAGATGAAGAGGCAGAGTGAGATCAAATGTTGCTGCAGCCGACATCCTGCAGCTCTTTGGGGAGCAGCATGGGCACACCTCTGAGTGAGGTTACTGATCCAGTAGGTATAGAATGGCACAGGCGTGTGTGTGTGTGTGTGTGTGTGGTCGGCTGTGCACAGAACTCACCCCAGCACCACACTCAGCTCTTTCACGTGCACACGCGTGTGTCCCCGGAGATACTCGGAAAGCATTTTGCTCTTAAGGTACATCTCCTGTAGTCTGTCTTCCAGATGCATGACGCACTGCAACCAATAGCATTGACAATGAGGGCTGCGTCTTCAGCATCTGCCAGGATCTTTAAGAGCTGGGCTTTTCCTTATCCATTTCTACACACACAGCTGTAACCGCCCCCTTTCAAATAAACCCCCAGAACCACCAGCTTACATTTTTCATAAAATGGTTATTAACATTTGCATATAATATCATTCTAGTATGTTTTCAAAAAGAGAATCTTTTACAGAGTTGCAATTTTTCCCTAAGCATGAACAACCCATCTTTCTGGCTTTTAAATAGTTAACTTTGTTCTTGGAACCGATGTAGGAGTGAGGACCATCATCATCTTGGCTCTCTGGAGAGACACACTCCTCCTATATATCAGAACCCTACAGAACAGCGAGTTCTGGGTTGCAGAAGTGGATTTATTTTTGCACTTGTCTTTACATCTTTGTTCACAAGATTTCTTGTTGAGAAACTTACCAATAATCTCATATTTAAGAATTCCTTTTACTAGGCCATTTTCATGGCTAGTGCTTTAGAAAAATGTTACCTTACTACTATTTACTTAACCATAGGGCACTCTACATTGGGGCTATAATTTTGTAAAGAATGTTTTAGCTCTTGTGTTCTTTCTGGACCTCAGACGTTTCTGGCATAATACATTCCTAGAAGCAGAGTGATGGGAACAAGGTCACTTCAGACTTGCATTTTGCTTTTTAGAGGATCCTTTAATTAGGTCTTTAATAACAAAAGGAGAGAATAATTATCTTGGGGACATCTTTTCACTTGGAACTGTGTTTAGCTCCAGTCGTCTGGGAACCACAGCCCTCCATTTGCGTCTCCCGGCAGCAGCGAAGGCTTTTGCATTTGGCAGGCAGTCGCCCCAGTGTCGGGAGATGACACCTGACAGCGCTGGCAAGACGCTGTCATCACAATTCCATCATCACAATCTCCTTCTAGACCATTAGGCCTCCTATTTTCAGGGTAAAAAGATGAACAGATGCATTTGAAGACATTAACCCTGTCCATCTGGGCTGATCAATGATGGGGGAGAAGTGTCTGTGAGACACAGGGGCTTTTGAGTCTGTCACTGGCAAGCATCTTAGGTGCAGGATGCTCAGGATGAACCACAGCTGTAAGTACTACTCAAGGCAGGGGATGGCACCAATCTCAGAGGTAAACAGCAGAGAGATTTCCTACCAAGTTTTGGCTCATTGTGAAGGGAAATACATAGTATTTAAATAAGAGATACAAGATAGCAAGAAACATTCAAATCAGACTGAATTCTTTATGTCTTAAAGTAGTTTTTATGTGTGATGTTTTCAGTCCGCAGTAACAATGTATGATGCGATGCTGGGTCTAGAAATATATGCTAAATGTGGGAAAAACACATTTACAAAAAAGTGGCTTTTTAAAGCTTCATACTCAAACAGAAATACATTGAGTGGTTACCCCTCTTTGTCGGATCTTTCTCCTGAGAGGAATAGCATTTAACTTCTAAAATTTTAGTTATTTCCTTCCATACACAAGTCCCATGTGTATTTTCTCAAAAGCAACACTTAGACGGAATTCTCTTGGATCTTGGTTCTGCCAGATTAAGTAGGTCATTCGTGTCTTATTATGTGGTTATGTATACTTCCACCAGATGAAGCAGAAAGACTTTTCTATAATGTATTGCTTTGATAGTTAAGATGTCAGACAATGGGAACAATGTCTTGAGAGAATCCAATGTAGGCATCTGTAAAGACAGCAGCAAGCCGCCATGGGCTCTAATATCTCCTCCTTCCCTTACAGAAAAGGAAACCCAAGCCTCAAAGGATGGACAAATCAGTCTGCTTCTAGAAGAAAAGAAGAAGCCTGTTTCTCCTGCTAACCCCAGAAGAGACATCCTGCAAGAGCATGCTTCAGTTACGAGCCAAATAAAGATTTTTATGGAAGATGTTGCCAGTTGTTACACCATCAATATTGTCTATCATATACAGTAATAACTGTTTACTGATGGAATGGAATACCTACCACCATTCCATGTCCTTCGCTTGAATTAACTCGTTTTCCTAAGCATATGAAACAGATTTTTTTCTTCCCCAAGATAGGGTTTCTCTGTGTAGCCCTTGCAGTCCTGGAACTCACTCTGTAGACCAGGCTAGCCTTGAACTCACAAAGATCCGCCTGCCTCTGCCTCCTTAGTGCTGGTATTAAAGGTGTGCGTCACCATCGCCCAGCCTGAAGCAGGTTCTATTTTTCCTCTAGATGTACAGAGAGGAACATGTGCCTCTGAGAGGTTACAAGGCTCATACACTGAACTCAGAAATGGTTTCCATGCCGTCACTGACTGTGAAATGACATACACAGTGGCTACTGCAGCTTCCTGAGCCGGTGTGGCACTTGGCCAGTCTGAAAAGCACTGTCTCCTCTCTGGTTTGTGGAGCAATCTCACAACAGGCTCAAACTATCTTCACGCTGCAAACAAGGAACCTGGGCTTCAAGGATTCGCCATCGTCCACCACACAAGGAGTAGTGGCCACATGTCCCAGGGATGTTTCAAGGTTTTCCTCTCCTTCTACACTGCCCCAGCTTTCACAACCATCCCTCAGAATACCGACATCAGAGTCCTGACCGTGTGTGCAAAGAGCTACAACTGAGGACCTGGCTGTAAGAAGACAGACAGACGACCAGCGTGTATTATATGATGCTTCCTGTTGGGCTGTTAAACAGTTCTGTGCTCTCTCTGGAGACCAGGAGGGGGACAGGAATTTGAACTAAGGCTTGGCTGCAAATAGCCACCCTGCACAGAAGGGAAGGAAGCAGAAAAGGCAGGCACTTCCGCACCATGTGTGTCCCTAAGGCCACACAGTGAGGCTGCTCAGCTATGTGCCTTCCGTCTCTCTCTCCTTGTCCAGCCTTCCTTGCTCACTTTCTGAATACACTTCCTCTATACCGCTCTCTGCACTCAACACGAATCAGGAGTTTGCTAGTCCACTGACTAGGGGAGAGCTGGTAACCCTTTCCTAGGACTTTCTAGGCTGTTCTTAGTTTCTAGTTACAATGTCACAAAAGTGATCCTAAAAATCCCACTGGGAAAGGAACAACCGAACACCATGTGATAAGTTATTACAAAGTCCTTTCAAATGTGAATCGAGTCCATTCACCCCTAATGGACTGTGAGGATGCTCACAGAAAAAACCGCCCTGCCTTGGATCATCTACAAGTTCTCCAATGAAGACACTGCCCTCTGCGCCAGCAAAGCTCCTCCCATGCGCCAGCGTGTTCCATTTTTCTTTAATGCAGACCTTCAGTCCATTAAAAACAATGTGTCTGAATTTGTGACATTTATAATCAAAGCAATGAATAAAAGTTATCTTTTAATCACATTATTTTTTTTGGATGATGAAAGGCCAAGTACTTACAAAGTCGGCAGGAAGGTGCAGCTTATAGAGCTGTAGAACGGACTGAAGTAAACAGGACACTTGGTTGGAGACCAAGACATCCTGGCCCAGCTTCATGGTGTCCATCACCTTCCTCTGACTCGTGGCCACCTGGACGGTCCATTTCTCCGTGTCGGCGATGATACAGACGGCTTCGGCTATGGGCTCGTCAAGCACTGGATGCTGAAAGAGATGCAGTGGGTCAGGGTTCCCCAGCTCAGGACGGACGGAGTGTTCAGTGCGGCATCAGAAGACGAAGGTGTGGACTGCAGAAGTGTGGAGCTTCGCTGGTCCCCAGAAAGGGGTGCCACTGAACCAGCTTGAGACTAGTTAGAGGGTCTGAGATGGCTCAGAGGGCTAAGTTCAGTCCCTGGGATCCACACGGAAGGACAGACAGACTGTCTCAAGTAGTCCTCTCATCTCCATATGTGCTGTGGTCTATGTGGGCATGCCCCCACACACATAATACACACCAAGTTAGTTAATAAAGACTTCTAAAAGCTGGTTAAAATGGCATTCTTCTTAAAATCATTTTGAAAAAACCAGAAGGTACTAAGGAGTTCATAGATAAACAAAAGGACTTTGCTTTTTCCATGTTTCCAATCAGTATGAAAGACTGTACTCCCATTCAGAATGAGGAAAACCAGAATAAGCTAGAAGATCCCATTGACATTTTTCCAATAACAAGGTCAAGATAACATTATACCCTCCCTAAGCTGTACCAGCAATTGCTGGGGAGAGATGACCCATCAGTCCAGCCTGTGTCCCGCACAACCCAATGCTGCCACTTTTACAGGCCATCAGCTCCTCAATTTGTATACTGGGATGGTTGACAAACCTAGCTTTTGGGAACTGCCAAGACCGAGGCTTATACCCTAAAACTTGAATAACCATGCCATCCCCACATGTTGGAGGGGAAGAATGGTGTGGACATGAAGCTGGTACAACATGCTGCTGGGCTCCTACTCTCGGTCTCCAATGGGATAGTACATATGCTTATCACATAAAAGGCATTCAAGCGTGTTCCAACACTGCCTCGGTGTAACACTCCTCTAGCCTGTTTCAATCACTGGGGAGACGGAGCCAGCCAGGCTACCCGAGAGGCTGCCTCCAGACTGCTAGTGCATCCAACAGAGTCAGCAGACAGAGACTCAGGGCACACAGCGTTGTACGGCTATCTGCATGTACTCAGCAGTGCCTTGTTCCTGGAAACAGGGTCAGTATTAGTCACTGGAGACTGAAGAGTGGTCACATGATGAAGAGGAAGGGTCTCATGATGCTGTATGACTGTGATCCCATGAAAGAACACACGTTCAAGACCAGCCTGGGTGACAAAGCGAGATCCCATCTTAAACTGAGAGGAAGGAAGGGCAGCAACAGCAGCAAGCACCGTGGACCGTGGGAAGATGAGGAAGGCCTCTGAGAACCACAAGACAACATGAGGACTATGGGCACAGGGAAGGAAGCGGGCGCTCTGAGCAGAGCAAGGCGATCTAGGGTGAAAAGCCCAGCTTCTGTGTGCTGTGGCTGTGGCTATAGTCACTGTGCCCACTAGGCTGATCCCCACATTCAGCCTGTGGCCACCAGCTCAACTGCTGGGCTGAGATCAGATTCGATGCGAAGGGACAAAAAGGTGCACCAAGTCAGAGTTCCAGAACCACATCATGTGATGAAGTGTGTGACCACAATGCAAGAGGAGGCTTGCAGCTTTTGTGGAGACACACATAAATGTTAAATATCTCATTAAAAAGGAAATGGGAAAATGACTGAACTATGATACAACGTACACAAGAGACAGGTCTGAAAGACATAGCCTCCTGTAAGAAAACAAATACAGGACACTCTCCCAGAGAACCTGGGTTCAATGCCAGCACCCACACTGTGCCTCACAGTCACCTGTAACTCCAGGTCCTCTTATGGCCTCTGCAGGTAAAACTCCCATATCCATAAGGATAAATACATTTAAGAAAAAGTGAATGCAACAAGCTACAGGCACCGTGTCAAACACATCATTCTTACTCTGTTATTTTAAAGAAAGATGATTCATGTTTCTCTTTACTCCAGAGGAAGGAATATTCATTCCCATCAATTCCAGTTCCAACCATAAACACACAATGTTCTAAACTCAGTTTTGTGAAGTCACCCATAATGAACATGCACTTCTTATGCACCACGCACCAGGTGGCACACTAGGAATACAAAGGAACCCCGATGGGGTTGCATCCGGGGCTACAGCCGCAGAAGCCAGAGCTGCTCCAAGTTACCAGTGTGTTTATCATCAACCTAAAGAGATGGAAAAGTCCGGGGCTCCTCCAGAGCTGCTTCGTTTCTAACCTGTTGATTGAGGCGGCTGCTGACCTGGTGCCTGGAGTACTGCGCGCTACTTAAGTAATGCTTTCTTGTCTGATGGGATAGGTTGTTCCTTTGTAGCCTAGCTAAGGCTGCCCACATAAATTAATTAGCATTCATGAGCATGCACCACGGCCAGGCGCTCAGCAAAGCTCCTTATCTGAGCTACTGACTCCTGTGTGATATTTCTGGAGTCAATCTGTTGCTACTCTTAAAATTAAATGGAGCAGGCTGCTATAGCCAACTGTTATTTATAGACTGGTCTGCAAAATGCCTGAAACCTAGATCACTATTTTGTTTTGTTTTTTAAGCTAAAATATGATGTTAATTTTGGTCCTGGTGACCTTACATAGAGAGAGATACCAGCCTGCTCCCTGTGACATGACGGAGGGCGAATCTGTGTGCAGGCGCCGCTCAGTCAAGTCTGGCAGGTGTTTTCAGGAACAAGAGTGTGCGGGACACCTGTACATCTTCCTAACCTCTGATAGCAATTTAAGGGTATCTACCTGTGAGCAATGCCTCTACTGCTTTACTGTTTGAGGTACGTTCTCATTTACTGTTTGTCTGTTGTTATTTATTCGAGACAGGGTTTCTCTGTGTAGCCCTGGCTGTCCTGGAACTAGCTCTGTAGACCAGGCTGGCCTCGAACTCACAGAGATCTGCCTGCCTCTGCCTCCTGAGTGCTGGGACTAAAAGCGTATACCACCACTGCCCAACCCACATTTCCTGTTTTAATAGCTAACATTTCCTGGGCACTGTACTTTAGTCGTGCGCTGGGCGCTGTGCTCAACACTTGATGTGGATTATAGAATTTTCAAATTCAAATGACATTGGCACAGTTTATTTTATAGAATGGAAATTCCCCCCAAAGGCCAAAAAGGCATTAGGAACCAAGCTATGATTCAAACCTAGGTTCCTTCTTCGGAGGCCCAACTTCTCACAGGCAGGCAGGAGGTCAAATTTAGGGGTACATCCATCTTGTATTTTGAGACACGTGCTCTCAAAAGGACCTTATTAATGAGTCTGGGCTTGACCAGGAGTGAGCCTCAGCAATCTTCCTGCCTCCTGTCCAGCCACTGCACCCCGCTTTTCTGCCTGGGTCCTGGAGACTGCACAACTCCTCACGCTCACGTTCCTACTGAGCTATCACCCCAACCTGGAAAGCAAACTCGGAACCACCGCACCGTCCTTTCCCTGTTCCCGTGTCCTCCAACATCCCCCTCAGTGGGATGGTGCCGCTGGCCTCACTTGAGGAACGCCAGGACTCAGAGCCCAGCCAGCGCTGCTGACGTCTCTCAGGCCCACCTCTGACCCCGGTTTAGTCACTAACGCTGCCGAGCTGGCAGCGCTCAGTGGCAGACAGGATGCAGAAGAGAGACAAGGCTGCTTGAGGGTCACAGGATGCGAGCATTGCCGGCCTATGTATGCGTCCTCTGCCCACTCACAGTGAAAGGAAAGCAAAGAGAAGAACACATGTAGTCGATAGGAAAAAGAAGCAAAGCTGAGTAACATGTATTAGGAGGCACGGATTCCAATGACAGACTGAAACGGGGCACAACTTAAAACAGCCAGAGAGAACCTGAATCTTAGTGCATGAAAGTGAAGAAGGCCACAAGAAGGAATGGCAAAAAGCCTCTTTCAGAGGGACGAGTGGTAGGTTTTCTGTACCCCGATACAACAAGGGTAACAAAAAGAGAAAAAAGACACCCTTGATGTTGAATATTCTAGAAAGAAATCCCCTCGTGCTCCAAAGAAAACTACTGTGGCTACACAATGTGCATTAACGAGGCCAGACTTTATCATCTCAGCCACGCATACGCCTAGAAAACAGATCAATAACCTCCATCAATTGCTTTGAAAAAGTTGTTCAGAGTCTTTCTTTAAAAGGAATTATGAGTCTCCAAAGCCTGGCAGGAAACGGAAACTATTCAGACTCCTCCAAACAGGCTGTGAAAGCGAGAGGCGCCAAGTGATTTCCCCCCTTCTCTCCACATGGCTCTGGCAGCTACAACCTCCTCAGCTCTGACAGTCACTGTCCCTTATGGATGGACAATCACCAGGGTTCTTACAAATACCCTGTTTCCCACAGATCTCTGTAGACGGAAGTGAAATCCCTTCTACAGTAAAAACAGAGCATTGTCATACACCAGAGTGAGTCTGAGCGGCAGTCTACATGCCAGTCCACCTCAAAATCAAACTCAGCAGCAGCATTGGTGGCAGAGGCAGGGGGAATCTCTGCGAGTTTGGGACAGCCTGATCTACAGAGTGAGTTCCAGGCCAGCCAAGGTGAGCCCCTGTAACTAACAAACAAACAAAAGCAAAGACTCATGAACGTGTCAAGTAAGATTGGAAGCCCACTAATGTTAACTGGACATATTATGAAGGTACTAGATTTTAAAGGTATTCTTATGAGCCCTTCAGAGTTTCCTACCAACACAATGCACACAGCTGCATCTGGAATATGCCCACATCACATGATCCAGGTTATTATACCTAATAACATTCAACTACAAGAGGACCTTATAATTTAAAGAAACACGAGCCGATAAGAGTGTAAAAATGCTATTTTTAAAAGGAAGACAATGAAACATGGAAAAGCTTTCAGAGGAATGACAGTGCAGGCATGGTTATTTTCTCAAATGTAGGAATTACAGAGCCAGACAGTTATAATGAAAAATCTATTATTCAGAAGTTAGAACTTGATGGCCCATAAAAATGCCAAAATTTCCTGAGATGTGTCACGGGTAAGTTGGAGGTGATTATCAACCAGGAGGTTACTTTTCCATGGTGGTAAGAGAATGTGGGCCCATCTGGGCAAAGTGTGCAGCAGCTGATACACTCAGTGTCACCGAGGACAACCCCACCAGCTCCCAGAGTCTCCCCGTGCCTCTGGCAGAAGCAGAACTCAGGCTTGGTGGAGAACAGGCGCAAGGAGCAAAACCCAAGTCCTTAGGAATCAAACCAACAGCACGACAGACAGCAAACACCCCAGGGCTCTGCACAGGCGGATGTGAGCAGGGGGTAGCGATGCATAAGGTCCCCAAGACCAAGATAATGTATGTTTCTAACTGCAAAACGTCTATGCTTGCACATCTGCTGACTTAGCAGCTCAATTAAAAACAGGTCCATCAGACTGACATAGTTTCCAGACGCGTTCAGCTCCTGTCACGCTGCAGATAACAGAAAAGCACTCAGCAGCAGCTACAGGCAATTTCCCAGTCATACCTGTAAATCTCTCTACAGCTGTCTCCTCCCAGCTATCGAAGTGAGCTCGATGGCAAAGCAGTTAAAAAAAACTGCTTTTAGAAACTTGCAAGGTTTGAATAATAAACGAGCCGTACGAGCGCCTCTCTGGTCTTCCTTCTGAAGGCATGCCACCATCACTCACCATTTGTGCCATTTATCTGTTTGCCAGGACAGCCCACGGCCACTCACCCCTTCTTTGCTCTATTCTACCTTTGTTCTAGCCCCAGGAGGCTGACCTCTGTGGACAATGGAAAGGATCTATGTCGCAGCTGTGCCCTTGCTCCCTGGCCTCTTGCAGAAGAAAGTAGAGGCTGGAGGAAAGAACCAGCAGTCAGATGCCCCACCTTCCTTACTGTCCCCAGAAAGGCAGTTCCTCTTCCTGCTCCAAGACCCTGCAGTTCTGCTACTACCTGATTTCCCTCTGCTGAGGCTAGCCTGGTCATGCTCACAGTCCCAGGACTCTTAACTATGTCTCACTGGCTGTCGTGTTACTCTGTGTCTTACAAGCTGTATACGGAAGTTTCTGTTCTGCCTGGTCCTGCAGTCGTTCAGTCCCAAAGAAACATACAGAGGCTTATATTCATTATAAACTGTTTCACCTATTAGCTCAGGCTTATTATTAACTAGCTCTTACAACTTAACCCATAATTCTTGTCTATCTTTAGCCACGAGACTTGATACCTTTTCTCAGTGCAGCATTCTCATCTGGCTTCCTCTGTGTCTGAGTCTTTCCTCTTCCCAGAATTCTCCTAGTCTGGTTGCCTCGCCTATACTTCCTGCCTGGCTACTGGACAATTAGCGTTTTATCAAAACAATACGAGTGATGAATTGTTACAGGGTACAAGAGCATTATCCCACAGCAACAAGCAATCCTCTGCACTGATGCTTTCAGTGTAACTGAAAAGCCCGCTGCTGGCCATCCAGCGGTTCTATTCCGGGGTCACTTACATGCACCGTGTGAACCAGATCAGCTGCCAGGCACTGCTTCAGCTTCTCATCGCTGCCGGTTCCATGCAGCACCAAATCCGGCATATACGTAGCACAGTAACCCGCCAGAAGTGAGCGGCCAAAATTTCTAACGCTTGGTTTGCTGGTGCTCTGAGACCTGAGACGACATGAGAATGATTAAATAGTTAGAAGCACTCACTTTTGTATTACGGTGGGAACAAAGCCTCCAATGATAGAGAAAATATCATAGTCTCCTATAGCCCATATCAGAATCTAAAAGGAGATCATGAATGAGAGCAAAGAGGGGATTTTTTTGGAGGAAAGGAAGTATGTTAGTTAAAATGGAAGCCTGGAAAAAAATATACTTTTTCCATGGCTCTTAAAAACTTCATTCTTAAGCCAGATGTCAGTGTAAGGCCAGCCTAGGCTACACAGTGAGACCCTGTCTAAAAAAAACAAGGGATCTGATCTTATTCCTCACACTGAGCACCATGATGTTCAGTATGTCAGTGTCAGAAGCTTGAAAGAGGAGGCTGGGAATCACGGTGCCCAAAGCAAGGCTTCATGAATCTGACCTCATCTGCAGAGGGAGGCGTCCACCACAGTGGGGAAGAACAGAGGGAACCTTTATTTGCAACTTTCAGTTACCACAGACCAAAGGACCAAGCCGACGGGGTCCTAACGAGAGTATAAAGTGGCAAGGGAGCCTCATGGCGGGTGTGACACCAAGTGGAGCTCTCCCCTCCCTGCTACCGTGGCTGCTGTGACCCTTCACGCCCCCCCAAATGTCTCAAGAGCTACAAAGACAACCAATCACCAGTCCTATGTCCAAGAACACAGCTCCACCGAGACTGTGAGCATCCTTGGAGACCACACAGGCTGGGACCCCCTGGAAAGTAACTGACGACCCCTCTAATATTTAAGAGAAAACACGTATGGCGTATAAAGCGGTCGTTGACAGAAACCGTGGTCACAGAAGTCAGGCTGGGGACAGACTCTAGTTCCCTGGGCAGTGTTACCTTGGCAGAGGCAGCTCCACTTCCAAGGACCCTTCAGTCCTGTCACAACTGTGACCTAGGTCTAGCGGGGGTAATGCGCATGCCTCATCGTCACTGTCTCCGAGAGCACTATCCAAGCTTTCATTCCTGGGAATGTCTCCTTGCATCCTGAAGTGGGCCTTACCACTGGCATCCCCACAGGGGACATGTGAAGCACCCAGCAGGCCACCCTGCTGCCTACATGTGTTTACAGGCTGTGATGAAGGTCTTTTCCTGCCTTTTAATTGCACATCTCCAGTGTGTTCCAGTGGTTTCTGGCCACTGGCTGCTGCACAGCTAGAAGGTTCGAGGGGGTCTTGAGCTTGGCTAAGCTGTCCCACAGCACCTGCCACGATGTTGGCTTGGAGGTGTCTGTCCTCAGGGACACCTTCTCCCCCTGAGAACTGGTCCTGAGGAAGGGCGATGTCCCTTTGAAAGTCAGCTTTGGAGGAACACCTAGAGCCCTGCTGGTCTTGAGCCAGGCTGGTGTCCATGTTAGGCCTGGCAGAGGCACTAGTCCCATGGAATGGGCCACAGGTCTTTAGCCGCTCCTCCATTTTTTTGGTGCGGCTTTCAAAGTCGGACTCTGGAGAGACGGAGCTTCCAATGTGGAAAGTGACCTTTTCAACAGAAGGCTCCTCCTGGGGACGTCTGTCAGGGCAGGGCCAGGCTGACGATCTATCAGTTGCTTTTTGTAACATCTCTGCGTGCAGCTCCTCATGGACAGCTCTATGATCCATCCTGATTCTTACTCTGGGGACCTCACAGCTGGGAGGTCTTGAAGAGACATCTTGGGGTGCCTCTTGGTCATCCTGGCTGTCCTCATAGAATACACCTTGAGGTGTCCAGGAACTGTCAGGTTCTGCCTCTTGGAACCCCACGCTACTGGCCTCAGAACTCTGCTCTGGCCTCCTGCACTTGTTTTTCTCAGGACTGTGACCCAGTTCACAAGTATGCGTGCCCTCTGGGGTCTCGGCGACTCCTGTAGGTTCCGGGCTCCTCCTCTCCGTGGTCACTGGCGGTAGGACCGGCGGCACAAGGGCAGGCTCGTTTCTCACCGTGACGACCACGTACTCAGACTCTTCCACCTCTCCCTTTTCCAAGGCAGTTACAATCTTGCTCCCATTTATAACCTGGTCATCCTCACTAGGAGTCCCATTCCAGGTCAGCTGATTCTCTTGTAGTTCCGAACAGCGGAGAAAGTAGGTCAGAACATAGAGGATGCGCTGGACCAAATCCTTCTGCTTTCCAATCACCACTGTGCGGGTCAGTCTCACCGGAGAGCCTATCGCTCCATAAAGGTCACCTACAGGGCAAAGACAGACAGAAGACAAAGTCCTCTGGTGTTAGCATATATGGAATATCTGCCCTCTACAAGAACAAAACTAGTTACTTGATTCTCAGCCTCCAGTCACTTCTTGAGGCAACAGATAATGAAGTTTCCAGGAATGACCATGTTCCAGCTGCCCTGACACTGAGAGCAGGTCTGGAAGGCTGGACAGTTTGCAGCCTAGCAGAGTACAGCAGCGGTGCTGCTGGACACACAAGCCATGCACTGGGTGCAGCTGGTTGCATGCTGGCTCAGGGAAGGCTGAAGCCACTGTTCTGCATAAATGACCAGGTCCACTACATAGATATCTTGCAAGTTATAAGAATTTCTTAGGAGAATTACAGTGGGGAGTGTGTCCTGGGAAGGACCGGAGAGAGGGCTCAAAGGTTAGGAGCGTATGCTGTGCTGAGGATCTAAGCTCAATCCCCAGCACCCATATCCTCATTGGGCAAGGTGTCTCACAACTAACTGTCTGTGACTCCGGACAGGCCACCTTCTAATCTCAGAACTCACATGCACACACCCACACACAGAGGAACAAGTATAAACACATAAATAAAAATAAAAAAGAATCCGAGGATGGTGAGTCTTAGGGTAAAATGTAAATTCAAGAATTTAATTACTTCAAAGTGATATGAAGTAAATCAGCTAAAATTAGTTAACGGGGTAGTGTGTGTAGGATTCTCTTAGTACATGGATTTGCTCTAAGTAGACTGTTTGATTTTTAAGAAAAATTACCCACTTGTGAACAATAATCTGAAAATTTTCTTTATTTCATACCATATGAAAAGCCTAGAGGACACAAAACCTGTTTCCTTCGCTATATTCTGGTAAGTGGGTTAAAATGGGCTGGTGAGCCAGTTTGGGGTTCACTGCAAAGAGTGGAAGAAGACAGGAGCCCTTCAACAGAGCTCCCCGCCAGCACATTCTACTGTAGAGCACACTGATACGAGGATTAAGAAAAGGAATAATGCAACAGGAAGGATTAAATGGTGGGGGGAGGGGGACAAAGGGCAGGGTAGAGGAGGGAGTATGGGAAAGATAACTAAAGATCTTTCAAAGAAGTCAAATGGAAACCAAATGCTGTAGAAACTTAACACACCTTAAAACGTAGCTACCTCTAACAGGGCAACAATGTCCCTATAAAAATCAGAGCCAGGGATAGGTTATTTCTTTAGGAGTTGTTGGCTGATGAGATCCCACAGACCCCCAACATGACAGGCTATTGCCAATGCTCTTAGTTACACTCCAGAGTCTCACGGTTAAGACCCTATTGCTGAAGACACCACATACAGATATCAAGCAGGTGCCCACCTGGAGGCTACACCCTACTGGCTAGCCTTCATAGTGCTGAAAGGTGTTATGTATGCTACCGGAGGGGAAGTGATCACCAATCATACCCAGCTGTGAGCTATAATAATGACTGATTTGGTAAAATATACCCACTGGTGCAATAGTGGCAAAAACTTCATGGGAGTAACTAATCACTCTTGGCTTGGATTTAAGTCCTGCTCCACAGAATACAACCCATATCCAGCACAATTATTGAGCCAAGACCATAAAGCTGGACGTTGGGGGCCTTGGGGAGAGTCTACTAATACGGTTCTCCTAATGGAAACAGTATTTCTGGTGATCTACTGTGTACCCACAGATGAGTGCATCTCTCAGACCTAATCTGAGAAGCTTCTACTGACAGTAGCTGGATATTTGCATAGGGACCTACAACTGGCCACGGTACAGAGGCTAAGAGACTGTAAAATGCTCAGCCTTAAACAGAACACACATACTGCATCCCCCTTTCTTAAGGATTTTTGCAGAGGAGGGAACCAGAGCATCTAAGAGCCAGAGGCAGTGGGTGACTCCAAGGCAACCATGACTTCTGGACACAGCGGGGCAGGCAGCTGCACATAGGAACTCACAACAGTCCTGACAACATGCACAACACTTGACAGACCACATTCCAGCACAGAGATGGGAGCTGGGCATAAGCTGTGGAGCTGTGGGCAAAGGACTGTTTTCTCTTAGTATGTCCTGGTAAGTCGATTGTATTTCAGGGGAAGACTACACACCCAAGAATACCTGAGCCACACAAATTGGTCTTGACGGCTTTATGCTCACTAATAAAGCCAACATCTACTGAGTGGGTAGGCACTTACAGATTATATTTGCACAACCAAGCAAATCAACCAGAAGGCTGGAAGCCATTCACACTGGAAGCAGTGTCCCATAAATAGAGATGCTCCTTCCTCAGTGACAGTTACAAAGAAGACTGGGTGACATCAGGACTCGGCTGGGGAATGTGTTCCTAGTGAGGCAGGAAGCCACAGGCTAGAGCAAACTAAAATTAGTAGACCGAGGCTGAGAGAAACATTGTGAGAATGGGCAGGAAGCTCTCTCTAGGGAACCATAAGGAAGTCTGTCCTTGGGAGTGTTTTCCCCCAGTGCACAGCTTCCAAGAACATTTAAAGGGCAGGACAGAAATAATAATAAACAACTTTTCTATAAAAAGACAAGACTGAAGGCTTACAGAGCTCAGAAGTACAGGGAGATGCTATGGTTTGATCTGAGAGAACTGCCCTGACCACGAGCTCATGCCATGCCCTCCTTCTGATCCTGTGCCCCGCATTTCAGGACATCACAGTCACTTCAGGACTCAGAGGCGTTTCTGTGGTCTCAGTACTAACCACGTGACCAAGCTGGTCCAGGTCACGTGGGCCCATGATCCCAGTTACTAGAGAGGCGGAGACACGAGGATCATGAGTTCCAGGCCAGCCTGGTCTACACAGTAAGAAACAAGCAGGCAATTATTTCCCATCTCTCCATAAATACACAGATCTAAAAATGTTACCAGATTGTTTGAACCTGTTTTAAATTAATTTTTTATTTTTTCGAGACAGGGTTTCTCTGTGGCTTTGGAGCCTGTTCTGGAACTAGCTCTGTAGACCAGGCTGGTCTCGAACTCACAGAGATCCGCCTGCCTCTGCCTCCCGAGTGCTGGGATTAAAGGCTTTAAATTAATTTTCTAAGTGTTGGAGCAGCATGGTCTATGATTTCTCACAGATCACAAAGGGTTACTCCTGTAGCTGGTACACAGCAGCAAAACTAGAAAAGAAGCACAAAGCCCTTTCTCAGGGGAAGGGTTCAAAATCCTCCATTAAAAAAAAAAAGAAATGGATAAAGAGGGAAGACATATTGCTAAGTAAGGGTTGGTGCTGTGGGATAATGTTTTTGTACACTGTAAAGATTTTTTCACTTATATTAGCTTAATAAAATGCTGATTGGCCAGTAGCCAGGCAGGAAGTCTGGTGAGGCAACCAGACTAGGAGAATTCTGGGAAGAGGAAAGACAAAGTCAGTTACCAGCCAGATGCAGAGGAATCAAGATGAGAATGCCTTACTGAGAAAAGATACCAAGCCAAATGGCTAAACATAGACAAGAATTATGGGTTAATTCAAGTTGTAAGAGCTAGTTAACAATAAGCCTGAGCTATAAATAAATAAACAGGTAGATAGGTAGGTAGGTAGATAGACAGACAGATAAGCGGGCCTTCTGTGTGTTTCTTTGGGACTGAACAGTCGCAGGGGACCAGGTGGAACAGAAACTTCTGTCTACAAGTTAGGAAGTAAGTGCTGAGCTAGAATACTCAGAAAGAGTGCTTACATGTCTGAGGGCCTAGGTTCATTTCCCAGCATCCACATAAGAAGCCAGGTATAGATACATATGTCTGTACCCAAACTGCTGGGCAACAGAGAGCTCCAGATTCAGTGAGAAAATCCTTCTCAAGGGAACAAGGTGGAGTAACAGAAGAGAACACCTGACCTGACATGGTTACAGGCACCTGCACCATGCATATACACATGCACATATACACACGCACGCCCACATTCTGCTGAATAAAAAATGATGAGCAGTAAAACTAGATGATGGTTAGCATCAAAATCAAGGTGAGCAACCTCTTCTGCAGAGAGGAGGAGAAACAGAAGATGTACACTTTCTTATTGTTAGACTAGATTTACAAGTGTTTATTACTTTTGCTTTTTTGGTCAGAAAATAACTAATTGCTGCAAACAAAAGATAATGCTCTAAAACACAGAGATGAGTTTCACTTCGACCCTCCCGAAGACTTAGGTCCCTTGTCTATAAAACGGAAAGTCTTACAGGTATCTTGATATCTTGTGATAGTCAAGGGTCAAGCCTAATAATAGTCATTCAATCCTTAGACTCCATGAAGACCAGATCTCATCAGGGTGAAGAAAACAGGTCAGGTAGGATTTTACCCATTCTGCGAGGAGAAATATAAATGAAGAAAGATACATACAGTTCTGCTGTCTGGGGGCCTCATCAAGCACAGCGAGATGCACACAGCAGCGATTCTGGGAGAGGGGCAGGGAGACTGGAGCGGAAATAGATTTTAAAACAAGGGTTCCCAAAAATCTAAATGTCATGTCATTCATGCAGTTTAAGTTTGTGCATTCGGGAAGATCAATGAACTCTGAGCAGGAGAACCCAAGTAAGAGTGGATAGGCTTGCTGCGGCGGAAATGTCCAAACCTTGAAGGCAGCAGGCGAAAGTCCACTCAGCTCAAGGGCAGGTTTCTCACCTACAGCAAATTCTCTGCTGAGACACCACATCCTAAAACTCACATTTTACAGAACGCCTGCTATCCTGTTTAAATGCTTTTCTGCCCACCAATGGCTCCCACAGGCCGCTGGTGGGTATTATCTCTAATGTGGAAACCCCGTGAGTGGTGCCCATGGGAACAAAGGCACCAGCTCACCACCTTGGAGTATGGAGAGACTGCGGCTGAGAAATGGCGCAGGAGAGATGAGAGGTGGGCTGTCCTGCTGAGCTCTCAGCAAGAAGCTGAAATCATTCAAGATAGAACTGGTTTTATTACTGAGGAAACCAGGTTAAAATTACACCTGCACTGCTGTGTAGGCCGCAGAGCTTGCATTTTCCTGCCTACCACAGCACACAGAAAGAGCTCGAATCATGGAAATGCCTTCAAGGCTGTCAGATGCCTTCCTGGTGCAAGGCTTTATTCATTCCCTCCGCAACCAGCTCTGAACAACACCTGGACCTTGGAGGGCGTCTTCTCAAGAAGAGCAAACTGAAGACCTTCCGTGGTGTATATCTCCAAAGAAAAGCAATGAACAGCCCACAAGAAGGGATTTTTGCCTTGTTACACTGAACACACGAAATCAGTGGCTCCAGGGAGCTCAATCCCACAGGAGAAGCAAGCCTGAGTCTAAATACATTTATCTAATTAAATGCACGTGGCTTCATTACCATTGTTTGAAAATCGACTCTACACCAGGACACACTATTTCCTTAACATCCAGCCCATTCCCCTTTGGGGGAAACGATACACTTTGGAAAGGATGTCTTCCTGTTGAGAAAGACAACATATGCCCTCAAGAAGAGCTTCTCATCCCTGAGCGAGGTGCCAAGTTTTGAACAGTTCCTTGTACCAAGCATCAAAATATTAAGCACTGCACTTTATTTTTTATTTATTTTTTTGAGACAACACCTTGGTTAAATAGCCCAGACTAGCCTACAACTCATAATAATCTTCTACCTCAGTCTCCCAAACCCTGGGGTAACAAGTCACGTAACTTGTTTTATTTATTTTTTAAAATATTTATTTATTTATTATGTATACACTATTCTGTCTGTGTGTATGCCTGCAGGCCAGAAGAGGGCACCAGAACCCATTACAGATGGTTGTGAGCCACCATGTGGTTGCTGGGAATTGAACTCAGGACCTTTGGAAGAGCAGGCAATGCTCTTAACCTCTGAGCCATCTCTCCAGCCCCCCACGTAACTTGTTTTACTCTCCATGACTTCTTTAGTTAGTTCATTAAAAGCACACCTATTACTTACCCTATGAGACTTGTATCTCCTTTTGTGTCTCACAGGCATAAGGACAGGAAAGTAATTTACTGCTATCAAATAAGGACACTGTGACAGGCAGGGTGAGAATCTCATCAATTAGCATGTGTATACAGCACTAGCAACATTGTTTGTGTGTTTGTTACAGTTTCTGAAACACCCTGCTTGCTAGGACTAGAGTGCTTCCCCCAGCTCGCTGCTGTTCCTACCAATTACCATTTGGAGATTCCCTCAGCTAAGCCTTCCTGGAAAACGTCATCCATCCTCTTTCTCCCTCTGTAAACGCCCCAGCAACAGAGCAAAGGTGCTTTGTACATTGCATCTCACAGCAAACACCAAGTCCTGACCCCACCCTGTCTGATGTGTGCTTGCTTAGCCACATATGAGGCCCCAGCCAGGTTCTATCCTTATCACACAGAAGGAAGAGGCCCAGGAAGGCTAGCTAAGTGACTGCCTGCAGAAAGAAACCAAGTACAAGGCTTCGGGCCCCATATCATCCACTTGCCCACCCTTCTCCACAGTGTTCTCAAATGATCTGGTCATGGATATGCCTTGTCCAGCAGGCGGCAGACTACTGCGTCCGAGAGGCTGAGCTCCAGCACACGGGCAGAATGTCATGTAAAGTAAGTCACTTTGACACTCGCTAAGAACGAGTCCAGGCATGCAACCCCAGTCTCGCCTATGAAGCACTAGGTTCCTATACCAGCCTACACATATGGGTTGAAGAAGTGACAGACAAGGCATCAGACATTTGGCGTAGCCAGAAAGGTGGTGACATTAGATAGTGCCACTTTCCCCTGGCCTTCTGTTTCTCCAGCCACTCTGTCCTACAGGCAACGGTTCTCACTTGAGTTCCTTTGGTTGCCCCTCCCCCCAGGGAAGCTTGGCAATGTTGGGAGACATTTGGATGGTTATAACTTTGGGCAGAGAGGAACTGTACTGGGATCTAAAGAATGGACGTCAAGAGTTTGCTGAGCAACCTACAAGATGTGAGGGAGCCCTCCTCTGCCCCATCACAACTCAGCCACAGAGAATCATCTGGCCCAGTCTGTCAGTAGCTAAGGAAACCGAGACAGGATGAACAGCCTCTGCGAAGTGGAGAACTTAGTTGACCTACACTGCCTCAAAACAAAGCTACTGGTGAGGGAGAGGGATGTGGAGCAGTCTCAGTCCTGCAAGAGACAATCCTTGAACGACTGGGCTGGAAAGCCAGTACAATTTCCAGCACCCCGCCTTGCCCAGCCCCCCATTTCATCAGATATATCCTCTGAGCAGTCAGATTAGTACTAACCCAGCTGGGCCCAGAGAGGATTGTACGGATGTGTTTTGGCCAGCGTGTTCACCGACTGAGAGGTACGCTTCTCCGAGAAGGCTTTAATTGGGGGGTGATCAACAGGCATGACAGTTGGTACCCAGGCCAAGTGGTAGGTTAACACTGCAGTCAGTAAGGCGGCAAAAAACCTTGGAAAGACGGACAAAAGCACACCAAAATTAGTCAAATACAGAACACAGCCACGTCCTGTGCAGAGCACACACTGGCTTGGGATCTGGCCACAACTTATGCTTACTGGTTTTTGTTGACCTGCTCAATCAGAAGTATAAATTCCTTGAGGAAGCGCTGGCAGAGCTGGGTTTTTTCCAACGTACTCGACATCATGGTGAGCCACACTGGTTCGGCTATCCTCGGAACAGAATACAAGTTCCAGATAGTCCCTCTACAGGAAGAGAGAAGGGACAAGAACAGTTGTTTTGGGTATCTTAGTATCAAAGAATAAAGCTGATCACTGTAATTTGGATATGTGTTCGCCTTAAGGAATTAAAAAATAAATTAACACAGGTTGGCAAGACAGAAGAATCATACTTGGATTGACTATGTAGCCATGTGCCTAAAGCAATCAGGACAGAACACTAATCTACCTCGGCAAAAATAGAAAACAGAAAACAAACAAAAAAACTTCACACCTCAAAAAACAGTATTTACTGAGTGAAGAAGCTGTGACCGCAAACTGTACGTAACAATAACAATCAAAGGGTGTCCACTTAAGAATGCAGGGGTGGGGAAGACATGGGAGGATACCTGAGAGGGGTAGTAAGTAGCAAGGTCTAGGATTTACCTACAAAACCCACATCTCAGCTGGGCATGGTGGCACACACTTTTAAATCTCAGCACTTGGGAGGCAGAGGCAGGTGGATCCCTGTGAGTTCAAGGCCAACCTGGCCTACAGAGTGAATTCCAGGACAGACAGGGTCTCACTATATAGCGCTTTTTCAAAAAACAACAACAACAACAACAACAAAACAAACAAACAAACAAAAAGTCTCTAAATATTAGTACATTATTTTGTCTGATTCTGGAGGGCTCAAGGTCAAAAATAAGTAAACAACTTCTACGTACACAACCTTAGCTTTTTGATTTCCGATTTTCACCCCTGAAAGACTACTGTTCAGATCAGCATCCAGACCCTCAAGCACAAGCCAGCGCTGAGTGTGACCCCTGCAAGGCCGTCTGCAAACCTAGAGCTGCCCCAAGGAGACAGCTCACCCATCATCTCCACAGTACTTCTCAAAACGAAACAGCCTAAGCAGTTCTGTTTCCACAGCCAGTGCTCAGAAAAAGTGGTTACCCTGCTTCAAGCAGCACTGGGCCCATCAATGATAGAATGGTCTAACATTCTAGGAAATGTAATTTGTTTTTCATCTCTCAGCTATTCGGCTCATTCGCTCCCAACGGCTTTGCTGTGAGAGTCCATTCCCGACTGAGAGACTGGCTCTGAGAAACTCGGATGAGCACAGTGGGAGAAACCCCACACCTGGAGCAGAGTACCTTGCTACCCATACTCTGAGGGCAAGGACTACAGAAAACCAGCGTCCATAGGTGATTGGTGGACACAGAGGTCAGTTAGATTCACTATCCAGACCAGGGCACGGACCTCAGGCATGGCATGTGCACCAGACCCACCCTGGCATGTGAGAGCTAGGGCTCCACAAATGTACACACTATCTCCATGAGCTCTAGGGGATAAGACACACTCCTGAACCCAAGCTTCTCCGTCTGTGAAAAGGGTAGAGGGGTTTCCCCTTCATCATTAATGAGACGACAGACGTAAGATCACGGAACTGACTTGTACGACATCCTTTAAAATTACTTTCTAGTTCTAATGAAAATAATACCATTAATCCAGGTGAGGTAATGCACGCCTTAATCCCAGAACTCTGGAGGCAGAGGCCAGTGCATCTCTGAGTTTAAAGCCAGCTCAGCCTAGTACGCAGTTAGTTCTAGGTCAGCCAGGACAGCACAGTGAGACTTTCTCAAAATAAACACAAAACTAAAACAACGAGAAAACCTAACAACACAACAAAGAAGAAAACTAATCCGATTAAGAACCGCCAGGCACAGTAAAGATTACTTGGGGCTGTGTTACTCAACCTGTCCTCACACAGGTGGAGACATTAACATGACTACAAACTGCCAGTCTCCCAAGTCTTCTGAGAGAGAGCAGCTCACAGCAGCTGGCAATACGGTGGCTCATCATTTCCTGCTGGAGTTTCAAACCTCGTACCTTACCTGAATTCTCCCAGAGCTTCCATCAGACGGCTCACATAAAACTGGACACGGAGACTTGATTCTGCGATCTTCCTACAGGAGATCATGGCCTTCATGGGAGAGAGTGAGCCAAATTACTCTCGGAGAAGAAATTCCTTTATAACTGACCAGCTAGGGCTTATTAATGAACAATGATGTTATAACAAATTTAAACACACATAGCAATGGTGCGTTCCCTTCATCAAAAAGCAGTAATTTCCTTCCCTACAGCAACCAGTGTCGGATTCTCCAGCCTTTAAAAATCCCAAGGCCCATCATTCCAGGGCACATTTTGACTTCCTTATGTAGGCCATCTGACACACACAGACAAGTGCCATCTTTGGCTTCAAATATCTCCCGTTTGCCAGTAGGTTGCAGTCTTACTACCTTTCATTTTCTTATTGAAGTGTTTGCTTGGAATGGATCCCAGGGCCTTGCACATGCTGTGAAAGCGCTCTACCCGAGCTGAGCTGCACCCCATCCCTTGCATATGCTGTACCCCTGAACACGTACTTCCCCCATCCCTTGCACACGCTGTATAAGCGCTCTACCCCTGAGCTGCACCCCATCCCTTGCACACGCTGTACCCCTGAGCACGTACAACCCCCATCCTTCCCTACCTTCTCAATGGCACTCTTCAGCCTGTTCATGTGAGATTCAAACAGGGGGAAGTGGGAGAAAAAGAAGTCCTGGAAGTTCTGCTGAGCTGCTTCTCTCTCGCACAGGGAAAAGATGATGCTGATGGCAATTTTCTTCCTTCTCACCATGGCTGGATTGGAGCTGGAGGCTTCGTCAGCCAAGCTAAACATCTCATCCGCTGACCTGGAGGAAAATTAAGTTTGAAACTGAAGCGGCCATGGATCAGTGAGCCGCTGAAGGTAAGCCGTTTTGCCGTGTGACGATACCTCAGGAAGCAAGGCAGACACTGAGAACTGAGCTGGTCATTCACCTGCCTCAGATCATCATCTTCTCTCTCCTTTGTCAGTCATGGAGACTGAAGGACCACTTACCACGCATCATCACCCTGCCATCAGAAGTTCAAATGAAAGCCACTGCCCATTTGAAGGTTTGCCTCTCATCCTTTCAACTGTATTTAGTTAGGAGGAGTGCCAGACACCAGCTCAACCAAAACACAGGTTATAGCTGTGCTTGTTGTACAGGCCTGGTGACCCAAGTTCCGCCCTGAGACTCACAGAAAAAGCTGGATGTGGCAGCGCACACCTGCAACCCTAGCATTTCCACCGTGAGATGAGAGGCAGGGGCAGAAGAACTGGTGGAGGACACACTCACAGGCCCGCTAGCCTAGAACACGACACACATAAGAAACAAGAGAAACCCTGCCTCAACGAGCTAGAAGGCAAGAACCAACTCCTCAGAGCTGCCCTCTGACATCTACACAGGCCTCTGGCACACGCTGGTTTGTATCAAACAAAGAAACAAATGAAATCGGTCCTTGGTTTTTGTTGATAGGCAAGAATAGATGATACACTGAAGACCGGTCCTGTGGTCCTGCGGAGTATTCTGTTCACACAGACATCATGCTTCAAGGCTTGCTAGTGCCTTCCTCAAGGCTATTAAAGCCACCAGAGGAAGCTACTCCTTTAAACGCCCTGATGAAGCCAAGTGATTAACTGACTGAGCACTCTGGGAAAGCCACTAAGCAGCAAGGCTCAACATCAACACTCTTTGGGTACAGGCAAGTTCTCAAAGAACTTATGATCCTTCTGAGAGGCAGCTTCTGTAATAAAAGAACTACAGAGCCAATAAATTCTCAATACATATCCGATCTGTCTTAGGGATAATACAATTCTGGTTGAACCTGAACTCTGGTTTAAATGCTGTGAAAAGCAGGGCAAACGACCACACAGCTACTAACACAGAGTGAAAAGGAGAGCGTTTGCTTTGTTCTCCAAAGGCACCGCAGTGAAGGTCAGATGTGTGCAGCTAGCCTGCAACACAACAGCATGTAATACATGCTCTCTTGGTGGCCAACTTTACCATTCTTTGGGCTCTATTCTAAGTCTATAACATTCTGTACGCTTTAAACTATATCTGGATCTTACTAACATTTGCACACCCAAGCTGCACGATTAGGAGATCTGTTTAAAAGAAAAAGTTCCTTGCTCTAGGCTCTGAGGGACGTGTTTCTGCATTTCTTAGCATCCCTCACATGTGGGATGAGGGGATGAGGGACATGGCAGCTCCTGCTCTGTGGGTGTCGTGTGAATGTACCAAGTGTCATACCAATCTACCAACTCAGAAATCTCCAGATCCCAATCACCAGAAAAAGCTCTGAGAATCACACAGAACATCACATTTTCACAAGGGAAGAGATCGGGTATTTTAAAAGGCTCCTAGTCTTTGTTGTGAAGTCCTTGTATTAAAAGCTGTTTCTGCGCACAAGCTGATTTCTGTCCGGGCATGGACACATCTATAAGTCCCATCCCAAGAGGCTGAGGTAAACTGAAGAGGTAGATTTGAACTCAAGTTCAAGGACAGGTTGGGATAGCGAGACCCTGTTTCCAAAAAAAAAAAAAAAAAAAAGGAATCGCAACAAAATATTCTTCTGAGCTATAATGCAAAACTTGCCTCTTTGCTGACTGCTCTACTCTTTCTCAAAAGTAAACCACTTGTATCATCATTCCAATCCTCCTCAAGCCAAGGTGGTCTTTAATAGCCCAACTGTGGTCAACACCGGGCTCTTCATCTTCATCTCTACTGTCTCCACGCCGACAGTCAACTCGGCTATGGCTATCGGTGTAAGCCCAGCAGAGAGTGCCACCTGCTGAACTGCTGTGAATCCTTCCCCGCTGAGCAGAAACTAGATCTTACCGGCTACATCTCTTCACTAAAATCTAAAGCTCCCCAGCTTCAGTCTGTAGTCCTGGGTCAATATCCAAACTGGAATAAATCATAGAGAACCTTAATTATCTTTTAGGTATTATCCCACAATAAGGGATGTTTGAGCATGGGTCAAAGAATTCAATCATATAAACAGACACTTCTCCAGAGTCTCTCTCCAGGTCACCAGGTAAGCTACACAAGCTCTTTTATAAACATAGAAACTGAAGCAGTGCTTGCCTGGGGAACAGATAGCTCTCTGGTAAGGATGCTAGAGTTATAACCTAGGATATCTGTCTGCCATTCTTGGCTTGCTGGATGACCAGATGTCCACCCCGCCTGACCCACCAGCCCTAGCTCATTCTGTTGGAGGCTCTGTGATGGCTGCGGTACCACAGGAAAGATGGAAGCACAGATCAGCCCACATGTTTCAAGACAGAAGAACCACGGCTGCACACTTAGGTCTTTTCCATATAGAGAAATCAAGTAGAGGGGGTATAGTAGTTCACGCTTTTAACCCTATCACATGGAAGCAAGGCAGGAGGACCATGAGTTCAAGGCTACCGTGGGCTAGAGTTAGATCCTTCCTCAAACGAAATGAAGCTGTGTTTTTGTTATATTTCAAAATCATAATCACTTAAAATAAAAACCATCATCATTTTACTTCATATAGACAAACTACAACTGATATCAGGGCTATTTAGCACAATTATTGCTGAAGTCAGATTTGAACTTACATTGAAACTATGAAACAGATAATATGGTAAGTCTAAGAACAGCCCACTGGAAACTTTGTTCAATTTACTAATCAAAAGGCTTCCAAGGGGCACATCTCCATGTCTGGTTCCTTTGGGATTTGGGGCGGTTTTCTCCAAGAGATAAAATACCCAGCCTCGCAGATAGCAGAGCTATTGCCAGCTGCACGATGTGTAACACCCCCACCTAGGTGCCCAATACCACAGCTTGCCACCTGGCACAATGAGGTAGCCTGAAGCCAGAGTAGAACTATCAATCCTAACTACCTATAACTCTCTTAGGAAGGATTTTTGATTTATCTTAAAATTATTTTTTTTTTTTTGCTTTTTTGATATGGTCTCATGTAGCCCTGGCTTGCCTAAAATTTGCTACATATATACAGGCTAACCTTGAAGTCATAGAAATCCATGTGTCTCAACTCCCGAGTGTCAGAATCAAAGGTGTACACTGCCATGTAGGGCAGGAAGATGTTTTTAATTACCATGCACTTCCTCTCAAAGCCAGAAACAGTGAGATTCTGTCACTAGCATAAGAAGCAATCCTCAGCCAAGAGTGGCTGGGTACCTGTAGCCCCAACACTCAGGCTCCAGGTCAGTCAGTCTCGGAACACTGAGCGGGAATGGGGGGGAAGGGAGGAAGTAACAACAGCAGAGGGAGGCAGGCTTCTGTACCCTCAACAGCATCTTCCTCCAGAAGGGACTGAGATCCACAACGTAACTGCTGTGTGCCCTTTCCAGGTTAGTCACAGTAACAGAGAGGGATATAAATACTTAAAAAAAAAAAACTAACAATAAATCAGGATACTGTTTGATACCCTATTAAAAATAACACAAAATTTTTATAATTTATATTTATATATTACACTATAATTATATTTTAAGGTTAAGGGAAACCTGGTCTACAAAGTGAGTTCCAGGATAGCCAGGACTATGTAGAGACCATGTCTCAAAGAAAAATACCATTTTAATTTTGTATGTGTAATATGGCTTGTGTAATTTGCCATGCACACATCTGGAAGTCAAAGGAGAACTGGGAATTTGGTTCTCCTCTTCCACTGTTTGGATCCTGAGACTCAGACCTGGGTTATTAAGCTCAGCTGCTGATGACTTAACCACAGAGCCATCTTGAGAGCCAAAGTTTTGCTTTTTTGGGACAGGGTCTCTGTAGCCCAGGCTGTTCCTGAATGCGAGTTTTCACTGTGTCAACCTCCAAGGGCTCGGACTACAGGCACGCACCGCCAATGTTAATCTGTGGCCATATTCTAAGCCCTGTCTGGCCACTTGACTCGCTCATCCAGTTTCCCTCCTAACAACACTGAGGCTGAACCTCCAGTAACCTGATGCACAGAGGAAGACGCACCCGAGGCCTAGTTAATGCGCTCTGTCACGTGGCAGATGCTATGACCTCATCCATCACTCCACTTGAAGTTCATGCACCAAAGAGCGGCGGCTCAGTGAAGGATCAGCTGTGAGCTTTTTATGTTGCTCTCTAGGGATCTGAACAGAAGAGGTGCCTCCAGCTAGCACTGCTCAGCTGATCTTTCTACAGGGCTCTCATCAGCCTTCACGAGGACCCACCCACCATGTTTCTTATTCCCGAGTCCCAGTGTACCGCACACCTTCGTGGTATTTATTTGTCATGTGCCGATGTTTCCTGACACCTGTTTACTGTCCTCTTCCCCCCCCTGGTTATAAACCACTACAACACAAGCTCATGGCTGGACCACCTTTCACAGATTCTCCAAACACAGTGATTATTACAAACTCAATTTGATTTTTATAAACTCAATTACTGACACAAATTATTTTAGTGACATGTTTGAAAATTCCCTTTACATTTTTAAGAGCTATAAAAAGAAGGACCTGGACGCTACTGGTCTAGCATCAAATCTATACACCGAACACAACCGAATAAACTTCAGATTCAAAACCACACTGACACAAAGGTAGGGAATAACACCTTGAGGCTATCTCTATGTGCACTAGGGGGCTGTGAGCCCCCAGATCCTGAATTTCTTGTAAACAACTTGTTTTCCCCTGATCCGAGTGCCTACAGCTGCTCTGAGCACGAGACCCTCAGGAGCTCCTGATGGCAGGAGAGTGGTTTCTGGTGGGTTTGGCTGGGGCGTGGCTATCCCTATATAAGCTGCCCCTGGACACAATAAAGGGGGCATTCTTGGGGCATTTCTGGCATCAAGGATGACCTGTGTCTCTGTGTCTCTGTGTGTTTCAACCTCCAGCCCCTTGCCCAGTTCACAAACTGTGTGGCGGTGCCCAGAGCACAGACAGGGTGTGGTGAGCCGCATATACTCAATTTCATGCTGTTTAGTCTAAGAATTTAAGTGCCACAAAGGGATCATGCCTTAAATACCACATTGGAATCACTGTAACCAGGGGAAGAGATGTGTCCCATCTTTATTACTTATAGCCATGTCTGGAAGGAATCTGGCTTAGAGAGAGAGAAAGAGAGAGAGAGAGAGAGAGAGAGAGAGAGAGAGAGAGAGAGAGAGAGAGAGAGAGAGAGAGAGAGCATTATTTAAATTACCACCAAATCTAGCATATACATTGTATAGCTATCCAGGCATTTCCAGTAACTTCTAAATAAAAAGACCTTTTTCCCAGCTGGGTAGTGTCAACACACTCCTAATCCTTACACTTAGGAAGCAGAGGCAAAGCAAGGCGTTTAAGCCCTGTCTGGGCTACACATTGTACTCCAGGCCAGCTTGCTCAGCTTTAATTTACTATCTTCTCCCTAACAATTGAACTTGTAAACTTCCAGGCTAAGCTGTAGCTAATCACAAGGATTCAGGTCGTCTTCTCCCGACAACAGCAAGGATAACCCTGCCAGGTTTCCTATGTTGTTTACAGTAGCGCTTTCCGTAGCCAGCGGAAACATGGAACTCACCTCCTTGGAAAGATGCCATTTTCCAAACTCGTCGTCTGACTTCGAAGCCAGCGGCGCTGATAGCTGCTGGAAGAGGACGTAGAGGAGCTCGGGGACGGGAAGGGTGTAATCAAAAGGCTGCTCAGCGAAGCTGCAAGGAAGCAAATTCCAAATGTGAGCGTCCCGGCTCGAGTTCTCAGAACGCAACTGTGTTCAGTACCGCTGGGCTATCCATTTACAATGAGTTCCATAGAGGCTGGGGGACAGTCAGAACCCGTATGAAACGTTAGGCTCCTAGTGTGCACTGGTAATCCTGGCACTGAGGAGGAAGAGACGGGAGAAGCCCTGGGGCTCACTGGCCAACTCAGAGAGATCCACGTCCCAGGGAAAGACCCTATCTCAGGAAGCAAGCAACACCCAAGGCTGACGTCTGTCTGATACAAACTCACACAGCACGTGCTTGCACATCTGTACCCAGATGTTCACCCCCCTCTCCAGTGAGTAAATCAGTAATAAACAAACATGCCAGGCGTGGTGGTGCATTCCCGTACCCTCCGTACTAGAGGTGCAGAGGCAGGAGGACCTTGAGTTCTAGGCCACCTTAACTATATAATTTCAAGTTCGAGGCTAGCCTGAGCTACATAATTGATCTATAGTCATCCCCCAAAAAGTTTAAGATGGCAAATTTATATGTAATATGTATTTCAACGCCATAAACACATACATACACACTCTCAGCCTGAAACTTTGTATTCTACCAATCATATCCAGCAGGGGGAGACTAAAACTTCTCTTTCAAACATTTCTATATATAAGAGGAAAAGAAACAACAGGTTTTTTTTTTTTTTTGACACTGTTGCTATGTAAACTAAATTGCCCTTGAACTCTCAATCCTCTTGCCTCAACACCCCTCTTTCCAATCACAGATGCACATCACCCCATTTCGATAGGAAGGAATAATCCTACTCTGCCCACACTCAGCCACCTCCTATTCTTAGCCACATGGATTCCTAATCCACAAATCCACAGACCCAATCAGTGCATGCTCAACCAGGCTTTACATCACAAACACAAGAGGAATTATTGCTCCTTCCATTGGAATACACACTCCAGATTTCTAAGAACACAGCGCACATAACTTAACAACATTGCACTCCAAAGCTTGTTTACTGTTTGCACTGGCTGGTTTTGTGACACAAGCTAGAGTCATCAGAGAGGAAGGAGCCTCAGTTGAGGCGATGCCTCCATGAGATCCAGCTGTAAGGCATCTTCTCAATTAGTTATCAATGAGGAAGGGCCCAGCCCATGATGTGTGGTGCCATCCCTGGGCTGGTGGTCCTGGGCTCTCTAAGAAGGTGGGCTAACCAAGCCAGGCAAAGCAGGCAGGTAAGCAGCTCTGCATCAGCTCCTGCGTCAGGATCCTGCCATGTTTGAGTTCCTGCCCTGACTTCCATCAGTGATGAGCAGCAATGCTGAAGTATAAGCCAAATAAACCCTTTCCTCCCTAACTTGCTTTATGGTCATGGTGTTTCGTCGCAGCAACAGAAACCCTAACTAAGACACGTGTCTTCTTTTGGCAATTTCTTCACTCTTTATTTGGAGGTAAAATTTAGGCAAAGTAATCAATAAGATAGAGTTCCCTCTCCTGATCCTCATTTTTCTTCTTGTTTTTATTTTTGAGACAAGTTCTTTCTGTGTAGCCCTGGCTGTCCTGAAACTCACTATACAGACCAGGCTGACCTCAAACACAGAACTCTTACCCTCCTTTCTCTACCCCCTTCTCATCTCCCTGTCTGAACAAACTATTTCTAGTCTTAAGTAGTATTTTTTTTGTACAGAAGAGCTGATTTTGAACTGTTGCAACTATTCTGAAAATAAATCACTAGTGATCTGAATTAGAATGACCCCCCAAAGGCTCGCCTTACCAGCCTGCCCCGCCCCCTTGCCTGCTGCCTGCTGATCAGGATTTAAAGCCCTCAGCTCTTTCCCCAGCACCACGCCTGCCTGCCTGCCTGCCTGCCACACCCTCTGCCATGGTGAAGGTAGATTAACCCTCTGAGACTGTAAGCAAGCCACCAATTAAGTGTTTATTTTATAAGTGGCTTCGGTCATGATGTGTCTTCACAGCAATAAAACATGAACTAAGACGCTAGGGTCTTAAGTAATGGATGACAAAAGTAAATTCTTTTCTCGGTGGTCAGAGAAAATCTTAGGAGACTCAGTTAAAATGCCACCAAGAGGCAGACTCAAGAAGGGCTCAAAGGGAATATATACCAGACACCTAATCTACAAGAAGAAAACTGAACAATATCATTAAAACAAAACAAAAAACTACTGGGAGGCGTCTGGAGAAGGCTCAGCAGCTAAGAGTGCTTCCTGTCACGGAGGGTAGAGGGCGCCTGCAATCCCTGCCTTCCTCAGCCATCCAAACAGGCTCCTTCGAGATGATACACTGTAAATGGCACACATCCACCCCGAGCTAATCCGTGTGATCCTAGCCTATCCACTCCCAGCCACCTTCTATTCTGACCCACGGCTCTGCAAAGCCTGTTCCCACTGCAGCCTTTGGCTAGCTGTCCTCTCAGTACCTAACCACTACTTGCTTTGGCATTCAGGAGCAGGTCCCTCCTGGCATATCCGTCCCCGCTGCACTTCTCCCTCTCAGGGGCTTTCCCTGAGCCCTCGGATATTTTCCTCCCTCAGGTGATCAGGGGGGTGTAATTCTTGCAGCACACACTCCGATCTGGTGTGTCCTTCCCCAACACAACAGCAACCTCTGTTTATCCCAGCAATACAGTCAGGTCAAGCCTTTGCTCCCTTAGACATTTGGAAAGCTTTTAGGGTCCTTAAAATTTAGTATGTAGTCATTACTTTAAAACAAAGTGAAATGACAGCGATTAAAAAGCCAATGAGATAGCATGTATTCCTGGTGTCTGCCAAAAGAAGGCTTATGTGTTAAAGATGGAGTTACACACAGTTGTGAGCCATCACGTGGATGCCGAGAACTGAACCCCAGTCCTCTGGAGGACAGTCATATTCTTAAGCACTGGGCCATCTCTCCAGCCTAGGCTCTTGTGCTCATAAGGTGGAGAATAAGGAAACATTCATTTTTTTCCCCTTAAACTCACCTGTAACCTAGGCTGGCCTAAAACATATGATCCCCCTGCCTCAGTCTACTGAGTGGTGGGATTACAGACACGCACTATTAGGTTTGGCATTAAGAGAAAAAAAAATCTTAGTGACTAGAATACTGTTAAGACCTCGAAGAGTCTTTATGCTAAAACAATGCCAAGTCCCTAGACAGGTAGGGATGTGCACTCAACTGGGAGATTTCAGAGTAGCGCCCAGCTGAGAGCAGACAGTACTTGCACCTGGGTATATATATTATACCAGGACAGCAAAATGAACAAAAGGACACTGTACAGGAGGACACTGTCAGCCCTCACTCTTGGGGAACCCACTAGCTGAGAGATTTTTAAACCCCAAGGAGAGTTCGTCTTCCCTGACTCTCATAACTCCTACTTGACAGTCGCAAGTTGCCTTGACGGGCTTTGAGGAAACTCCTGGATCTAGCTGGCACAGATGCATGAATTTAATGTGAACATGGACCCTCAATTACCTGCTTCTCAAAATTAAGAAAAAGCAGTTACAGAAAAAATGTAAAACCCGAGGACTATCAAACACACGAGCTGTAGCCAATGTGCAAATGAACTAGGAAAACCATAGCAACGTTCCTGTCGACGTCAGTGCTCTCAAATTCTCAATCTCTATTTGGAACAGAAAGAGACACGAGTGGTGGTGGCACACACCTTTAGTCCCAGCACTCGGGAGGCAGAAGTAGGCGGATCTCTGAGATCGAGGCCAGCCTGGTCTGAACAGCTAGTTCTAGGACAGGCTCCGATGCTACAGAGAAACCCTGTCTCAAAAAACAAAAACAACAACAACGACAAAAAAGCAAAAAAGGGACATGGACAAAACAAGGCTGCATCCAGAAAGAAATGGAGCACTCTGGGGAGCCCAGCAGGGCAGCACTCATCTGTCCAACACAGAGGGAAGTGGTGCCACGCAAAGCCACGCGGAACAGGTCCTATCTACCACGCAGGCAGCAGCACTGTCATAAGCAGACTGACCACCACAGGCCTGCTCCATCCTGAGTGAGCAGTCAGCAAGCCAATTCCTAGTACAACTGGTACAATGAGGCTTCCTGCTGGAAGAAATGTATCAGTCTCATATAAACTTGAGTATCAGATAAAACTAATTTGTGTGCCCAGATCATTCCTAGAGGCTGAACATCCAAAGTTTCAGATCCTCACACACAAGAGTCGTAGAATATAGAGAAAAGAAAGAACAAGGAAAAGAGAAAGGACAGAGCGAGGACCACCTTTCTGCTTCCTACTTCCCACTGTAGATACCCCACCGGGTTACTCAAACCAGCAAAAGGAAGTACCTGATCGAGCAATGCCGCTGTCCCTGTCTTCATTCTGACCTCTGCTGGGCATGTCAACCGGTGTGCTGTGTGCTGGGACAGAGAGACAGACAAGGGAAGCGTTAATGACCAGGCTCGCCAAAGACAGAGACATTCAAAAAAATGACTTCATATATGATTTCAAAGAGGGTTACTGGTATTGAAGAGTGGCCTAATATATAATAGAGATTAACTAGATAGCAAATTAAACACATAAAAAGATAACAAGAAGCAAAACCAACAAGCCATTTGCCTTTATGCCGGAGCCTATAGGCTCCTCTGAGTGACATGAACAAACCATTCATGCAGTTAATACAGTCAGCGGTCTATTTTAGCCATTTCCTCATTATTTATAGTATCTAAACAGTACAATAGTTTCAAAATGCTTTATAATTAATTAGTCTCAGTGATAGCTGCAGTCAGCTTAGGAAGAGAAATAGTGAAAAATCATTCCATAAATCTAGACATGTTTATTTATAATCTACTCTTTTTTTTTCCTAACAGTTTTTTTCCTCCAGTTCTTTTACCCAGACATGGTATTCGAGTTATTCAGAAAAACTCATGTCCTGGCAAAAATTTGGAAAACACTCTTAAGTAGCACATGTATCTAGAAGGCTTCAGACTGGTTGGGTTGCAGATTTACTGGGCTGAAAGGGATGTGAGAATGTGTCCTAGAAAATCTTAGAAAGAACAAGAAGCCACTGTGTTTGCCTTCCAAAGTTTTGAAGGAAGTATATAAACAAGCTATATGTGGTCTAAGTAGCAGGGACAGTAGACCAGTTCCATTAGGCATCAGAGAACCGTGATGTTTAGTGTGTGTGTGTGTGTGTGCGTGCGCGTGTGTGTGTCTATAAAAAGTAACAGAATGAAAAAGCCCATTTGCCTTCCTCACAACTTTAAGTTGGTCCTGAAGATTAGCTCACAGTTGCTAATCATGCTACAATGGACACTGAACAGCCCTCTGCTGGCAAGGCCAGTTACATCTCAGAAAACACCCAGGATATCAAGGTGACTACACCTGTAAGGAACCTGGACACTGCATTTAAATAATCTGAGTAAGTTAATATGAAAGAGAGAGACCTGATTGAGCCCTCCCATGCTTATAATAGAGTGACTTAGAAACTCCATGCAGGTGAGGGTGCAGGGGAATAGATGGATAAAAGATGCCACAGCAAAGAGAACCAGCTCACAGCAGCAGAGGCGGCCTAGGAAAATCAGAAGAAATTAATTTTCCTAGAAACACAAAGGGCTCACTTCAGATCAAAACCAGCTCGCTCCCATTTGGACCATTAGCAACAAGATGGAACTTGGAAACAGCAGGACTCCAGCTGCATTTGAAACTAGCATCTCCTGCCACAGAAGCCCTTTGGGTTTCTAGAGAAGAATAAATGGATTTCTGTTTTTCTAGAACCTGCATAGGAGTTTTAACGTGTGGGCCACACTGAGCTCAGCATTCCACACAAACCTGCAAAGAAAGAAGCGCTGCGGGTGAGCCGGAGCGGTCCTCCTTCGGACACCCCCTGCAGCAGCTTGCCGCTGCACGCCTGCAGCAGACCTAGAGCAGAACACACAGAGGACGCAGGGCACACACACAAATAAACACGGGTTAAAGATAACGCGAAAGTAAACCCAAAACACAGCAAACTCAAATAAAGCAGAACACGCCCCCAACAGCGGCACTCGGGGGAAGAGCCGTCGAGGGTCTCGTTTTACCTAGGTTACTTCCAGCGCGACAAGGACCCAAACCGTTCAGTTTTCCAACCTGGGGATCTTGGTTGATGTATTCAAAGCTGTCCTGCAGGCTAAATCAAGATGGGGATGGGGAGGGGACATCAAGATGTTAACACATTTGTTTTTTTAATAGATTCCCAACTACAGACAACAACTCGACAGTCTCTCGGAATTGTTCTTTATGAGACTAAAGTTTCACATCGACCAAGGGGAGAAAAGATGGGAGGTTGGGAGGAATTTGCTGGAGGAAAACGAAAATGTTTTGAAAGTGCCCAGTCCACGCGACTACCTGGGCAACTGCATTCATAACCACTTCGTGGCTGAAATGAGACGCCAAACTCTAAGCGTACTTTAGTAACTGACGCCTTCCGTACCGCTATTCATTTTGAAATTTTGCTTAACAAAATAACACCTAAGATGCTGCTATTCATTTCAAGGGTTCTCAATGAACACTCAAAATGAATTAACTTCATATCTCGGCTAGTATCTATTAATGATTCTGCAGCTTGTTTCACGGGGACGCAATCAGAAATTATGATCCACTTTAAGAAAAGTAGAATCACTCACGAAGATGGGCAGGGCAGATTTCTTCAATGTATTAGTTTAGAAAGAAACTGAATACCAACACTTTGAAGAGAAAATAGCACAATAAAATTCAAATAATTTCTTACTTAAATCTGAGCTCAATATTTAGAGTTAGTGGGCTAAACAAATATTTAGGTTATTCCAAAGACATGGAAAAACACTCATAAAAAACAAATGTCGCCTAGGTATGGTAATGTATGCCTATAATTCCAGTATTCGTAAAGTAGAGGCGAAAGGACCTTGAGTTCCCTGCCAGCGTGGGCTCTAGAATCAAAACCTGGTGACTGACAGCAAGAACAGAAGAGAAGAACAGACGCACATCCAAAACAAGAGGCATTTGTCAGCCTGGCAAATAGAAGAGTTTTGCCTGGTACACACGGGCTCTAGGTTCACTCCCACCACCCGCACACAGCTACTACCCCAGGGAGAGGCAGAAGGACCAGGGGTTCAAGGCCATCTTTAGCTACACTGCAAAGTTCCAGTTTAGTTCAAGGTCAGGCTGGGACTTTGAGACCTTTTCTCAAAAAACAGACAAAAATCATCATCTGTCTTTAGGGCCACTTGAGAAAAACCCAAAGTTTGTTTTTTCCTTGCTGTTATTAGAAAATGACTAAAACCTCTTTGCTAACCTGTATTTATCTTGTTATTCATTTAACAATGTCTTACAGTCCTCAACGAATTTATCTAGAAAGAGACACATAAGAACATAGGGCAGGGTATGAAATCCCACTTACTTATTTGTGCTTCCGCAGAAGCTACCCATTCGAGCCGAGAAGACTTTACTAATCATCAGCTGAGGAGGAGAACTGAAAGGCAAGAAGAGGGGAGACAGGCGCTTTGTAGGTTAGGAAGCCAGCAACAGCCTTCGGGGTCTCGCAGCCAGCACAAGGGCAGCCTCACCGTATGTAGTGTATCTTCAGGGTGGAGCCTTTGTAGCTCATGGCAACAGAGCCGAACATCATTTCCCCGAGCATGTTGACATCGGACGCCGGCCTCGTGTACTGCACAGGAAATCAGCCAGTCAGAGCACAACAGGGAACAACGCAATGTCTTACTACCATTGGTTAACACAGCAGTGCCTGCTAATCTCTGGGCCCCTGGCTGACAGTAGAGATAATATTCTGGACAGGTTTAAAAAGTAAGAACAGGGAGGGCTGGGGAGATGGCTTAGCAATTAGAAGCACTAGCTGCTCTTCCAGAGAACCTAGGTTCAATTCCCAGCACCCACATGGCAGCTCACAAACTGTAACTCCAGTTCCAGGGGATCTGACACCATCACACAGACTTACATCCAATACACAATGAGTAAAATAATAAAACATTAAAATTAAAACAACCAACAGACCGGAAAGCTGGTCATTGTTGCATGTGCCTATAATCCGAGCACTAGGGAAACTTGGAACAGGAGGATTTGAGATCAACCTGGCCTCCATGGTGAGGTCATGCCTGCTTGGGTTACTACAGGGGGAGAATGTGACAAGTTCGATGTGGTACACATCTGAAAACCTCAGAATTTGGGAGGTGAAGGCAGGAGGGTCAGAAATTCAAGGTCATCCTCAGCCAAATAGCCAGTTAGAGGCCAGCCTGGACCACTGGAGAACCAGCCTCTAACAAACAAAAACAACAGGAACAAAGCAACAGCACCCCTCGAGAGAGCTGGTGCCCACACTTACGGCTGTTCTAGAGACCACGAATCTTACTTGGTACTTCGGAAGCTGCTCCTTAGTGTGCTGTAAAGATCCTCCAGAGCTGTGGAGAGAGCTGCCGCCGCCGCCGCCGCCGCCGCCGCCGCCGCCGCCGCCGCCGCCGCCGCCGACACTCCCGCGTTCTTGACAGCACCTGGCTGACATTTTAGCAGGGACATCCTCTGCTTTCTGGATTGAGAAAGGCACGCAAGTGTGTCAGGCTTTACCAACACTCTTTACCAAGTGGAAATCTGTCAAAACATTAGGATGTCTGAATTGCATTAAAAACAAAAGCTCTGTTTAATTCTTCTTTATGATGACGAAATCATTCCTGGGAGTCTGGGACAGCTGGGAAGCGGGGGAGATGTCTGCACAGATACAGACAAGATAGACAGAGATTGACGGAGACGGGAGATAGCTGATATACTATTTAAAGAGGACACTATGTCTAACTGTTAGTATTTACATTAAAAATTTACACTGTAAAGTCATAGACAAATACTATTCCCTGTTACAGATTTTAGGAGATTTTAGTATTATGTAGTCTTAACACATGGAACTGATGAGGAGAAAAATGACCACAGACTTATGAAATTTTACCAACTAAATGTTACTGAGAAAAGAAACCTATTAGCGCGGACGGGCGGGCTTACGTTTCTCATACTTCTTCTAGCACTCCTTTATAAGTGCAGGGAAGGAAACCACCCAGGATGAACTTGTGAAAAATGAAGCCTGAGCCCTGAAACAGGAGCTACTGTGAACCCCAGAGCATGTGACAGGAACGTGGTCTTTAAAGGTCAGAGGTACCGGAGGGCGATCTACTTTATACTCCCCGAAGTGCTCCCTGCTCATTTCTATGACAGTGACATAAAGATAAAGATGCCCTCGCCCGCCCCCAGAAGAGAACACTCCCTCCAGAGCAGCCTTCGTGAGAAATGACTTCTGCTGAGTCTCCTTGGCCTCCTCCTTCCCTTCTTCCATCGCCTTTGCTTGGGATCCCAGGAATGCAACGGCAGCTTATCTAATCTCAGTGTGACTGGTGGTCTAAGGCACATGCTGGCCATCATGTGCCGATTCAAACTCACGGCGTTTTGTGCTTATCAAGGGGATGAAGTTGGGCAGGGGCTGGTTCGGGAAAGGAGCGTAAAGAGAACATGAAAGGTGCTGGTCTCCAGCAGGCACTGCAGCAGCGAAAGAACCTGAGGTTGTGCAGGGTTAGTCCTGAGCATCCTGCATGCATGCCCTCAACATGCTCTTCAGCTCCAACTGCTACTTAAGACCTCTTTACCACAAACAGCCTCTCAGAGGGCTGACAGCTATGACAGGAAGTACCACCTCCGGACAGACTGCAGGAGGACCGGGCAATCAGCATGGCTGGAAACAGCAGCTGGTACAGGGCAGGTTACCAATTGGCTTCTCCTGCAGTCTTTGGCAAGCTACAAAAATGTTCCTGATCCTATGTTGCCATTTTTAATTACAAGAAAATGTCTAGGAAACCGAGAGAGATGATCAAGTTATCCCTGCTCAGGTATGCTGACTAACTCCAGTTCCCTGTGGAAATCATCTCCCCTCTTTGCCCTCATCAGCAGCTCAGGCTTCTGGTAGAAGCACTGGGTAGAGCCCTCTCCTGTCGAGTAAATAAAGGGATCAAGAGCTGGCTCACCTAAGCTCCCGGTCCCAATATGCCATGAAAGCTTATGTGAATCATCTGAGAGATTTCTCAGCTTTCTCCTCCACCCACCCACCAAGCCCAGCCACTGATATAAAGATTAGCAGTCTGGCAGAGCTCCTCCTCGTGCTGCGGAATCCACCCGGCTCAAAGCCTTCAACCAAACATTTCCTTCCTGCAAACCAAGATTCTTATCAAAAGCTGGAAAACAAGGGCCAGGGAGAAGGCTCAGCAAAGAAAAGCACTTGTCCCCGCAAGTCTCATGACTACATTTGATCCCCGGGACCCACCTACAGGTGGAAGAGGGGACCAACGCCACAGAGCTGTCCTCTGGCTCCCACGTGCCGGCAGCAGCCTGCACGCCCCCACAAAACCACTTCTAGGAACTAAAGCTGAAGAACGGCCCACTGGCCCTTGGGAGTCAAAGGCCTTGTTGTAACCGTTCTTTTAACCACAATCTACAGACTATCAGAATCTGGTCAGTGTGGGAAGCGGGTAATTAAAGAAAAGAGTGAGTATCGGTGGCTTTATTGAATCTGTAAGCATCTGAACAAATACTGAAGAGAATGGTCTACAGATTAGATGTATCCTGGCCGACAGCCAGAGATCAGGGAGGGCAAGGGTCTTCCCAAATGATTTTATCTTTCCTAGTCTGGATCAAACAGGTCAAGATTCTTTCTGTCTTCACCGGCCATTCCTCCCACCTCCAGTGCCCATCATCCCCCCGCCCCACACACACATACACAACAGGGAAATTAAGGAAAGGTTTCTTGGTTAGAAGGCGTAAGGTGACAGTGCACACGTGTACAGACAATGCACACACGTGCAGACGGTCCGCGTGCATATAGACAGTGCACACGCACACACTGAGGCCCTCCAATGAGGAGGCCTTTTCATTCATTTGAACATGTGTTACAAAACATCTTTCCTTTATTTTGGTTTTTGAAACACAGGCTTACTATGTAGCCCAGGCTAGCCCCAGATCACCATCTTCCTACCTCAGCCTATCTAGTGCTGGACTACAGGCACGAGCCACACTTGGTACCTTTGTCTATGAGAAAACCAGGACAGAATGACCTTCTCTTCTGGCAAATACTCTAGCGCTTCATGAATCTCAGCAATGTATTTTCTTACTGTGCTTACAAAGTCCTACTGATTACAAGCACCCGCAAATGCATCTTTCTGGGTGACAGGGTTGGCCTACCATAACTGCTTGTTAAGTTTCACCCATGTTCACAACACACGCTTGCCCGCTGGGGTGCAAGCTTTGCTTGTTCCTCCTGATCCTTGCTGGCCCGGTACAACACAGCTTGAAGGGAACACAGACTGGAAAGCCCACGGGCATTCCATACCTGAGCAGCTGCCTCTTCTGTCTTCTGAACAGCTCTGGAATCAAACATGACCTGTCTGCCTCTCCTCTCACAGTCCTGGTAAACTATCAGGCGAATGTCGCTCAGGTCCAGCTCCGAACATGACCAACTGTGGATTCAAAAGAGAAAGGAGTTAGGTCGTCCTCAGTGCTTGGTGCCATCACGAGCAAACACAATTTCCAGCCAATGGGCCTATGTGTCAGCGAAAGCGGCTGCGTGAATAGTACCGACCCTCAGGGGAGGCGAGACTGGTGTAAGGAGAAATCCCTGGAGAGAAGTTGCAAGGCACAGAAAAGGGGCTGTCAGATGCCTGGGTTCTGGGGAAAGCACCCAGGACTTAAGGGAGTTGTTTATGCTCCTACGGGCCCAGGAATGAGAAGCCAGCCATCCCTGCTCAGGCGGAACTAGCAGCAGTTACACAGCCTAAAGTTTGTGTACTTTCCCTGTATGTCTGGCTTGATGTAGAGGCTTTGAAACCAAATGCATTTGCTAACCATCATGATTAGCAATGAGGGAAACATGGTTTGTTCCTAAGCAAAAGGCATTAAGGAAAAAAAAATACAGTAGTAACAAATTCTATCAGAAAGCAGAAACTAGAGAAAGGAACAACTCACAAGAGTGCTCCCAGCACGCGGTTAGCAATCCATTCAACACGCGTGTAGTCTGTATGGTAGTCGAGGCGCTGTAGGTGCTAGGGAATCATCAAACTGACTTGAGTCCCTGTCCTCATGAAGTTCAAGGCTGACTGGGGGATATTAATAACCTAATAGTTACACAGAAATATACAACTACAAACTGAAGTTCAAGGAAGAAAACTAGAGGGTACGAGAGAGCCTCTGAGCCTGGTGTCCGCCTCAGCACTCGGGAGACACTAACAACATAGCAAGACCGTGTCTCCAAAAGGTGAGATTTAAGGAGTGAAGGGGACAGAGAAGTCACTGAGAACTTAAAGCGACATTTAAATGCAGACCTGAAGAACGAAGAGCTCACATGAATACCGCACAACACGCAAAAATGTAGCACAGGAAAGGGAGAGAGGAGAACCAGAGAGCTACTTCCCCAACCCCGTGGCTGTGTGTGGGTGGGAGTGAGCTGAAGCAGGCCCAGACAGGATGGGCTCTGAACACAAAGAGCAGCCAAGGAAAGCTGACATCGATAAGAGATCAGATAGCCGCTGCCCTAAGAAAATCCGGAGGTGGGAGTGGACGCCGGCCGGCCAGCACAGGGAGCCAAGACGCCAATGTCGCCTGCTGCAAGCTGTGACCACCAGCAGCGGCAGTGCGTCAGGCTTGAATCTAGAAGATTAAGGCAGAATCTAAAGGATGTGCCTGAGGCAGAAGGGGTGCCAACTGTTCCGGCAGACCCTGCTAGAGGACATGGGGAGGACAATGACGGGGTGGGTGACAACTGGGCAGGGGATAAAGGAGGGACAGATGGAAAATATCCGACTAGACTGGGTAAGTATGGTCAGACACAGCTGGAGTCAAGTCCAAGCGTCTTCACCTTACACTTGGCCACTGGAGTAATCGGTGTAGAACTGCCAACTTCACAAACCTGTTGTGTGGATTAAATAAAATACATAAACGGCTTCACAGTAGCCACACACACACACACACACACACACACACACACACACACACACACACACGAGCTCCAACACCCTAAGCTCACTCCCGAGAGTGAGAAGCCGGGTTGCCTTTGGTCCTTCCCGGTTGCAGGCAACGGTGGTTAATGCCAACCATGTTACTATGGGGGGCAGCAAGAGGGTTTGTTCTCCTAAACACCAGCTGCAAAACATAGAAACTTTTGTTCATCCCTTCCTTCACCGACATGTTTTCTAAGTTGTGCTTGGCATCCTTGCCCTCTGACGTGGAGCGCTGTGGCAAATTTACTTTGGAAACCATTTTTCCTCTGCCCTCAGTCCAGAGGAAGCCCATGTTTAAAGTCTGACCAATGAGACGTGCATGCCACATGACCCCAATGCCACGTGACCCCAAGCTGACAGATGGGAGCCACAGCTTACAGCCCAGCCGTCATGTGGCAAGGTATCATCATGTGGCATGGTGCTGTCTGCTTGGTCAGAACGCCTCGTTTCTCAACTCCACACCAACAAAAGTACAAAGCAAGTGGCCAAAAGATGAATTATTTCCCTGAAAAGTAACAATAGCAATAACGCAAAGGATTTGAAGTACAAAAACCACATCTCTTTAAAGTATATATGTGCTATAACCCAAACTAGGAAAATTCAAGGTCAGCCTGGGCTATAGAACAAGACTCCTTCTCAAAAATAAAACAAAATCACACCAAAATGAGTGATACACACACACACACACACACACACACACACACACACACACACACACACCATGTATTGTAACAAAACGATGACTAGTACCGTGCCCCCCTAACCCTGTAAAAAAAAGAAAAAGAAAGAAAAGATATGTTGTAGTCCTAACTCCTGCACCCACGAGTCAGACCTTGTTTAGAAATAAAGTGCTTGGAGATGAACAAGATGAGGTGCGATCCTGCTGAATTAGAATGGGTGCTAATCTCATGACGGGATCCTCTTAAGAATGGGATTTGGAAGCAGACAAGGAATGACACACAGGAATGTTGTGCTGCTGAAGACAGTCCAAACATCAAAAGGCAAATGGTGCCCTATCCAATAATTCCTGGGGGCATCGAGTGTGTCTCCTGCTGGAGTCACGTGCCAAATTAGGCAGTGAAGCCGATTTAGAACGTGCATAGACTTTAAATACTCAGTCAGAGAATGTTTGTTTCATTTTCTATGTAATGACACGCTGACTCTTGAGTTTTCAAGAGAGGGGTTGATGTGATCTGAGGTAGAGGTCTGCTCTTAGGCAGAGGAGAACATCCTCAGGGCAGAGGCAGCGCCATCAAGGACCTGCGGTTTCAAGGAGGAACACCTCACAAAGAACAGAATGGTCATTATGTATTTTGCCGCGCAGAATCCGCTATCCCACCCGCCCCCCAGACCAGGTCACTTCCCTGGGTTTATACCTCCCTTAAACTGTGATAATAGTAAGATGAGCAGTGGCGTAAGTATGCCCAGGTCAGAAGCCATGATCTACAGGGAAGTAAAAATACTCAAAGTAAACACACAGGAATAATTTAAAGGCAGTCTTGGGTTCCAATAATGTCAATATTTAAAGAATCTGTTATGATGGGGAACTTTAAATAAGACAAGAAAATGTTAAATAAGGCAAAACTGGGTAGGCATGATGGTACATACTCATAATGCCAACCCTCAGAAGACCGAGGCGGGAGGATCACCAGTTTCAGCCAGCCTGGGCAACACAGTGAGACCCTGCCTCAAAAACACCAGTAATAAGAGCAGAGAAACTTACAGCTACTCATCCATTTAACAGGCAATTCCTGTCTGCTCACTGTGTGCCAAGCAGTGTCCCAGGCACTGGGACAAAGTTGAATAGATTATGACCTCTGGTGCCATAAAGATTACTGTAAGTATCATAAGGACACAACCCCACAGCTCTTAAATGCCCTTCTTTGTTTACAACCCTCACAGTCCCTCCTCTCTTCAAAACCAGTTTCTAAATACAAACAGAAATCTCTCAAAAAGCTCATTGGAGGGCATGGTGGCACACACCAGTAATCCAAGGACTAGGAGCTATATAATGAGTCCGTCCCTCCCCCCCCTCCCTCCATCCTTCCCTCCCTCCCTCCCAATATGATGAATCAAACAAACAAAGACAGAAAGGAGACAAGAAGGACCATAATTTGAAGGATTAAATACAAACAAACAAAACAGACTAGGTATGGAGGAAAGGGAGAAACTATGTTGTGATAAAGATGAATCACAGTTCATCTCATCAGCAAGCTACTTGTTTCAAGAAAAAAACTACGTAGATGGTAGGTAGTATCAGACTGGGAAATCGTGTACTTTGGCTAGATTAATAATACACCCAAACAAACAGCTCACAGGAAAAGTCATCGTCAAATTAGTTGACTTTCCTTTCTTATGCTTTACTTAGTGAAAGAATGCCTTGGTTCACACTTTGTATAAAAACTTCCTCCACTGACTCGTTGGCCTGCAGTCAAGAGAAGCAGAGGGCCACAAAAACCACCATTCTCACACAATGCTAGCTAGAGACGCTTATTTGCAAAGTATTCTGTTAAATGGATCCGCCTGTTATTTTACCCAAAGATATTTACAAGCCGGTTGTAGTTTTCCCATTTAAGAACATAAGTTATGTATAAACTTTCCATCTGCTTATAAACATGAAGTGCGGGATGAAAGAACAAACATCACGCCGCAGCACGGCACAAGAACAGTAATGCCACTGAAATCTGACCGTGCACACCAGGATTTGCTCCACACACAGGCTGGGACACCTGATGACCCACGACAGATGCCGAAATCAACTAGCTGCAGTTCTTATATCAAAATACACTTAAATAACAAAGCCACACCCTGAGATGTTCGGAGATAAATGTCTAAATTCAGACATCAAATTCACAGCATGGATCTACAGGACACGTTAGAAGAGGCTTTGATGGTGATGCTCACTGCAGTAAACAGACATTTTTATACATTTGATTTATGTGCATGTCTACATAGCTATGGGTGCCCTTGGAGGCCAGAAGAAGGTGGCTGTGCATGGCACAATACAGGGGCTGGAATTCAAATCCTGGTTGTCTGCACAAACTTGAGTGCTCACAAGCACTGAGCCATCTCTCCCAGCTCAGCAGTTCCCACCCAGAACTCTGAACTAACTGTGGAAGTACTAACTCTACAGTACAGAGCTTTCCAAAACCTGGTGCCTTACACAACTTACAAGTCTGTCAGAAAGACGGACTAAGCTCCTGCGAGGCACGGCTCAAACACAGTCAATTCAGACACACAATCCCTTAACAGAACTCCTGGGAACCAGATGTTTCAAAATTCAGATTTTTTAAAAGGACTTTAGAAAGATGAATATAATACCTCCTCCAGAGTGGGGAGGCAATCAAACTCCTAAATCAGATTACAACAGTCCAAGAGATGAATATATCCTAAATACAAACATTTCATACAGCTTCACTATCAGTTCAGATCATCTGTAGGCTTTTCGGGGATTTTAAGATTTT